TGCATATCTCAAATGACTGATGATACTGAACATTTTTTCATATATTTACTGTTTGTATTTCTTCATCTAAGAAGTGTATATTAATCTCAGATGCCCATTTTTGGATTGGGTCTTTAAATTTCTTGCCTTGTTTCTGATGTTAGAAGAAATAATTTAGTCTGCCAATGTGAAATATGATGTTAGCTGTAGTGTTTTTTGTAGGTATCTTTCATCAGCTTGAGGACACACCCTTCTAAGACTAGTTTACATCATGAATGGATATTGTATTTTACTAAAAGATTTTTTTCATATGTTATTATATTGTAGAATTTTATTTCTTCATGGCAAATTACTTTGATTTTTATAATATTGAACCAGTCATATATCCTTGGGATAAATCACACTTGGTTGTGCTATGTTACCTATTTTGTATATAATGGAATTTGATTGATCTGCTTTTTAGAATTTTTATGTTGTATCATGAAGCATAAATTTAATTTACATTTTCTTTTTATATATTTTTATTTTCAAATTTTGGTACTAGGGTAATGTTGGCCTCGTGGAAAATGTTGAGAAGTGTTTTATCTTTTGTTTTCCTGAAAAGATTGTATAGAATTGATATTATTTCTTCTTTAAATGTTTAATAAAGTTTGCCCATGAAACAATGGGGACATGGGAAATTTTAGAAAAATATTAAGTTACAGATTCGATTTCACTACACTAATTCAGATTATCTGTTTTATTTTTACCCTCCTGATCAAGCCTTCAATCACACTGGTCCCTTGGGATGGGGGCTGCACTAGTTTATTTTAGTTTGTATATTAGACATTATAAACATTGTTTTAAGATTCTGAATTTTGTTTGTGAAGAATGTTGACATTTTTGTTTTAGTCTTTTATGTGTTAAGGTTCCAACATCAGTCCCATTTTCAAGCATTTAAATTAGTCCTGTGTGTGCACCACCTAGTGGTCAGTCTGGGACTTGGGGTGAAGGTCTCCTTGCTAGATGAGTTTCCAAGTCTTTGCTATGCAAATGAAGATCAAAACACTCACAGGTCATAGGTGAACTTTTTCCTTTTCCAGGTCTTCTCAGTACTTGTCAGGTCCTTACGCTTCTATTTTTCTGTCTTCTATTCAGAAACTCCCATTGTCATAGTTGTACCACTTCCAGAAAAATGTTGCAGAGGAGCTAGAGAAAAAACTTGTATGAAGTCTGTTTGTATCCTCTTGACACTGTATCTCAATCTATGAAAAGGATCTCATCCCACAGAATTTTGATTCCTAGAGCCTCCCATTATGAGCCATTTGTACTCTTAGGCCACCTGTGCTGTTGCCACCTTCATTGTGGAACCAAAGTAGAGTATATAAAAACCCAAAAGATTTTCCCTACTCTTCTGAACTCCAATTCTTATTTCTATTTCTCAACCTAAAACTACAAGGTTTTTCCTGCATCTTAGTCTGTCTGCTAAACAAAGCTTACTTCTGGGCTTCATGCCCAGTTAAATTCAGGCTCAGACTGTTGAAGGAAAAAATGTTGAACTTGCAACTCTTTACATGGTTCAGACTCTGGTGTTGTTTCCTGATATGCTGTGTCAATCACTTTTTCATCACTAGGAAACAATACCCAGCTTAAGGAGGAGAGATTTATTTGTCACATTTTCCAGTGGTTTCAATCAAAATTGGCTGGCTCGAAGGGGACAGGTATGGTGGAAGGGCATGGTAGATAAAAGCTGCTGATCCAGTGTAACTTAGGAAGCTGAGAGAAGGGACAGCCAGGGACAAAAATACAGCCTTCCAGGTTATGCCCCTAGTGACTTAACTTCAGCTAGGCCCCATGTCCAAATAGAAAATTCAACTACTGACTCATCAATGGATAAATTCATTGATGCATATAGCATTACCCATGATCCAGTCACCTTACACACATATGAGACTTTTGAGGGGCATTTTTAATCTAAACTGTAGCATCCACTCTACCCACACCTGTTTACTTTTAGTTTTATACAGTTGTCCAAGTTTTATATTTGAGTTAGTGAGAGATTAAAAAGGATTCCAGAATAAGTCCCAGTTGTATGTATTTTAAAGACAAAATACAGATGGATCTTGGGTTTTTTTGCAATAGGACTGTCTCTGTCTTTCTTGAGTTTAGGAGAATTCGTATTGAAAGTAATGATTGATACAGCTGGATTAAAATTACCACCTTAAAAGTTGTTTTCTGTTCATTATATTTGCTCTTCTATTTCCTACTCGTATTTATTTTGTTTCTATTTTCTCATTATATTTCATCATTTTTAAATGTTAACTGAAATACTACAGCTGTACCTATTTATAGGGTATCAGAAATAAATCAAATTAAAACTGTATATATTTATAGGGTACCAGAAATAAACCAGGCACACAAAGAAGTGCCACATGATTTCACTCATACGTAGAATCAAAGTTGTTCTCATAGAACTTGAAAGTAGAGTGGCGGTTACCAGAAGCTGGAGTGAGTGAAGGCAGGGTGCCGTGGGGAAAGTCTGGTTAACAGGTACTGTGCTGTCGTTAGATAGGGTCAAGAAGCGCTGGTGCACTCTTGCACTATAAGGTGACTATAGTTCACAAAAATGTGTAATATTTAAAATGCTAGAAGAAATAATTTTGAATATGTAATCATTTTTGTGGTCTCACTTTATCACTTGTATTACTTATCATTTGAACATTTTTATATAACACTATATTAATTCATGTGTAGTGAAGGTGTAATGTAATATTCCCCCATCATCCTCCAATTCCCTATCATTGTTATATTACATTGCACGTTCATGTAGCCTATAAACACATTTTGTTTCTATTGTTAAACAGTCAGTAGTATTTTAGAACAATTAAGAATATAAAAAAAAGGGGGGCTGGGGACTTAGCTCAGCGGCAAAAGCGCCTGCCTGGCAAGCGCAAGGTCGTGAGTTCGGTTCCCGGTACCGGAGAAAAACCAAAAAACCAAAAAAAAAAAAAAAAAAAAGAATATAAAAAAAAGGATATATTTTGACTTTCTGTATTTCTTTTTCAGTACTCTTCTTTTAATTATGCAGACCCAATTTTTTTTTACCTACATCATATCTCTTCACTTTGAAGGATTCCCTTTAATATTTCTTGAAACACTGATGTATTGGTGTCAAATTTTCTGTTATTTGTCTGAAAAAGGATTTGTTTTCCCTTCATTTTTGAAGGATACTTTGGCTGAATTTAGAATTTTGGATTGGCAAGTTTTCTTTCTACACCACTTTTTTCCATTATCTTTTTGCTTGTTGTGGCTTCTGGCAAGAAGTCTAGTATAATTATTTTCTTTGTTTCTCTTTGTATAAGCTGACCTCTGCCTGCCTTATCCTTCCTGATTTTTCTGCAATTTGAATTTGATATGTCTCTCAGTGTGTTTTTTTTTTATATATATTTACCAAGCTAGGTGTTCTGGGAGCTTCTTAGATCTATGGTTTATTGTCTGTGGCTAATTTTAGAAATTTTTAGCTCTTATGTCTCCAAATATTTCTTCTGCCCCTTTCTCAATTCCTATCTGAGTACATGTATATTATACTTGTTAATATTGTTCTACACTTCTTGGATGTTTTATACTTTTTTGCAGTACTGGGGATTAAACCCAGAATTTTTACGCTGAGCTACATCTCCAGCTCTTATTTTTCTGTTAATTTCAAGCCAGGGTCTGGTTAAATCACTACTTTGCTTAGGCTGGGCTTAAGCTTACTCTCTTCCTGCTCAATCTCCCTGAGTGGTAGGATTACAGATGTGTCACCACACCTGGCTTTACTTTTTTTACTTGATTTTTTCTCTTGCACTTTAACATTTGATTCTTTCTTACACTTTCTGTCCCCATACTGAAGTTAACTGTCATATCTTGCATGATTACCTTTTCCAGTACAGCCTTTAACATATTAGTCATAACTTCAGAATTCTATGTCTAATAATTCCAACATTCAGTCATTACTGAATCTGATCCTGATGATTGCTTTGTCTCTTCAGACATTTTATTGTGGCCTGGGATCTTCGCTTTGTGCTGCTCTCTGGAGGCAGTCTATCTCTTGTAGATATATTTCACTACTGTTTTTCATGATGCTTTTTATCCTGGTAGTGAGGAATGGCGACTAGGACATTCTGTGTTATTCTTGCTAAGTCTCAGTCTCAGGCAGGCTTACCCTGATGTGACCTTCACAAATGTTCCTGCCCCACCTCCAAATGTAATGGTAGACCTTGCACGTTTTCCTGCCCTTCCCGAATTACAACTTTTTTTCTCATTTTCCTCTCCTAGCTGTAGTGAGTTCTCAGCTCCTGTTGCTCTTCCTTTTGCAGACTAAAAGTTTTTATTTCTCTCAGGAGAGAGAGAATAGATTGATCTGAACTATTCCAGTGGTACTGGCCATTCCACTGCCAGCTGAAGTGAGTTTCCACAAGTGCTCTCAAACTACAAGTTTTGTGCTGTTCTTTCCCCCTGTATAGTAAGACTTTTATTTCACAAGGAATATAAACAAAAGGGTTTCGTAGGATGTCAACAGTGGCGATTGTTGTATGCCCCACCCATTGCAGAACTACAGGTTATTTTTCTCAGGATTCTTCTCAGTCTTCCCTGTCAGGACCTGTTTTTCTGGAGGAAAACTGCCAAAGGATATAAAATCACCTGTCTTTAGCCTTTATAGTCTTCATATTTTCACCCTGGCCCATAAATAGCTTTTGACAATACATTAATGATTTGTAGCTGAATGTTAAAGAGCTTTTTGTTATTCTGCAATATCTGCACCAAATATGCAAATACTTGAGTCTTCTTGCACTCTTCGGATGCCTGTTACTGTAGGTTTTCCACTATTTTCACTGCACCTTCTGTTTTCTGGTCAGTTCAAGCGTCCTTAATTTGAAGTCTTTTAGCTTTTTTCTTGTAATGTTGGGAGAGTTTCTCTTTGCAATTCTACATCTCTGAGCTGATGCCAGAAGATCACATAAGTCTGGGGATGGACTTCTGAACCTCTATTTGTCTTTCAGCATCCATACCCCAGTTTACCAATTCACCCACAATGGTGATCATGGTGGGTTTACCTGCTCGAGGCAAGACCTACATCTCCACAAAGCTCACAAGATATCTCAACTGGATTGGAACACCAACTAAAGGTATGTCTCTGAAGCCCTTTGTTCTACAGCTCAGCTATAGGTCACTAGTTGCAAACTGAGTAAGGTAGGAGGCTAAGACCCTCGGTACCAAAAAGGCTTCATCACCATTATTTACAAGGATTAGAACTGCTACTACAACTATTACTAGGACTAATTATACTATACAAGTGCCACTACATTCTTACAATTTCTGGAACACACGTTCCGTGCCCAACTCCACGCTGTGTGGTAGGCATAGGAAAACCAGTATTAAGACTAAATATCTGTTCTCAGTAGGACCCACAACTTCAAAACAACGTTCTAAGTAGCATACTATTTTGTTACCATTGCTATTATTGCCACATGAATGTTTATCATTTCTTCAGCATTTCATTGTTGAAAAAAGGCTGAGGAGGTGAAGTACCTTGTCTAAAGGCACATGGCCATGAGTGATAGAACCAAGTTATGTTTGATTCCAGGCCTGACACTCACTGTGACAGGTCTAATGCATAGCTCTATTGATGGAAAAATAAAAGAATCCCATGTTTGCCCTATATTCTTCTTTTCTCTTTTCTCTTCCTTATTCTTTCTCTTGCCTATCCCAGCATCCTATCTACCTTCTTCATTCACCCTCCCTCTTTTCCTCGCCTCCTCTTTTCCCTCTTTTTCTTCTCTCTGCCTGTTCTCCCTTTCCAGCTCTCAGATTGAACCCAAGGCCTCATTCATGATAAGTTCATTCTGTCACTAAGCTATACCCAACAACCCCAAATCTCTTCTTTGTCCTTATTTCTTCTTTCCCTTCATCTACTTTCTCTTTACCTACTTCATGAACAAAGAATTTCCCATTGGTTTTCCATGTGCCAAAATCCATGCTAGGTATTGGGGATGAAAAATATGGATGAGACTCATGCCCTGTCCTTGAAGAGTTCTCAGCCTGGCTAGCATATATAATCATATCTTGCACTGTCTAAGAATGCTCCAGCAAGGTGTTGAGGGGCCTCACAGAGGGAGTTACTAATTGGAAGGCAGAGAAGGCTTCCTGGATAGAGTATATTCGTATTGGCTCTTATGGGAGGAGGTAGACATTGACAAAAAGGCAAGAAGGAGCTATTTTCATGGAGAACTGTAAGTTCTGAGGAGCCTTTGCTAAATGGAAGGGTACATGGCGCAGTGGCAAGTGGATCTCTGCCCAGATCTCCTTCTTCCTGTCTGCTCCACTTTACTCAGTTCTTACAGAGGCCCCCAGAGTCATATTTCAAAACATAAGGCTGACATGACTAGAGCATTCAAGGGTCCCCTTGGCCTGCAGGTTCCTTAGCCTGTCATTCAAGGCCTTCCAAAATTGGCCTTTTCTAGTCTCTCAGGCTCCACTCATAGTAGATTACCCCTGATCTTCCAAGCAGGCTGTCCCTTCTACCAATGCTATACCTTTCCTCAAGCTGGTCCTCTGCCTATAATACCTTTTCCCCCACCCTCACCCCTATACCCACCTACAGAGGCCTACTTCAAATCACATATCTCTCCAAATGGAATTTGTCTTTTCTTCTCCCTCACTCTTTTGCATAGCTCCATATTGTCTCTGTCAGATCAACTAGCAAAATGTGTGGGAGCTCTCCAATCCCTGGGTTACTCACTCCCACCTATTGGATTGTGAGCTTCTTAAGGTTCCCATCATGAATGTCTGGTTGCTCTCTGAGACCCAGAACTCATATTTCCTACCTCACATAGTAGGCATCAAAAGCATTTGTTAATGAATGAATAAAATATTACCTGTTTGGTTGCTTTTCCTCTTTCCTCTTCTTTCCTTCCCTCCTCTTTGACTTTTCACCATTGCAAAGTGGGAAAGTACAACTTAGATTTAGATTCCCCCTCATGATACAGAAAAATGAAACAGCACAAGATTGCAGATCAGGAGGCCAAGTCTCTGTCTGCTACAAACTCACTGTTTGACCCTTGGTGATTGATTAAATTTGCTACCTGGATCTTGATTTCTTTCTTTCCAACAGAATAGGGCATTTGAAAGGTTGTCGTTTATGAAAAAGTAAAATAATTTGGAGCCAAACTTTTTGAAGCTCAAATCTTGACTTATTAACTGAAAGGTATTTCCTATCTATGACCTTTACTTTCCTCATTTGTAAAATGGGAATGGTGATTCCTAACCTTCAGGGCTGTTGTGAGGAAAAAGTGAGCTGATCACTGTAATTTGAAGCTGTATAAACACATTTTATATCTATAAAGAATACCTTCTACCTTTGAGGTCGTTCCTAGCAAGGAAATTTTTGTCTACTAGAGTCTGCCCAAACTCTTCACTAGGGATACCTGCTTTCAGTGTTTAATTTAGGCCAGTATCGACGAGAGGCAGTGAGCTACAAGAACTACGAATTCTTTCTCCCAGACAACATGGAGGCCCTACTTATCAGGAAGTAAGTACCCACTGTTTTAGGGGCCTGTTCTGCCCTTTGGCTAAGGGAGGCTGTTCTTCAGATATTGAGGGAGTTGGGTAGGGTAACCTGGGACAGGGAGGAGAACCTTTAGACTCTCAAAGGGCAACCTTCTGTCGTCCTACTCAAAGCCTGCTTTTGGTCCTAACCATCCCCTGCTCAAGAACCTTTTACATTCTCCTACTCCTGACAGGAGAGAGTGTAAACTTAGCTTAGCATTTGAGATGAAAATCTCAGTAGCTTGGCTCACTCTGCTCTCCGGTCTTATCAGTTCAGCCTTGAGGTGTCTTTCCCCTATGTGACTCTAAGCACTTCCAGAACAGAGCCTGGGTCTCATTTATCAATCTATGTTCACATCATAGAACCCAGCAATCAATAATCGCTAAAAAAATTTTTGCTGAAAGCATAAATACATTGCCGCTGTCATACCTGAGCTTACGTTATCCATGCCAGGAATCCCTTGAACTTCAAAGATCACGTATCTAGGCCTTAGGTAGGTGCATAAACGAGTTGAATTTGAGTTCCATTTGCTTAAGGGTTGAAGCCCTTCAAATTATAGCTGTGGTCGTTACTTAGTTTTTCCTGAGTGTGTCACTTTTGACCTGCCCCTAAACTATCCACCAGTGGTGGCAAACCTATGGCATGCATGCTGCAGCACGCACACAGAGCCCTCTCTGTCATCGTGCAAGCCAAGTCGCCCCAGGAGCCAAGCATCAGATAACAGCACACAAAAGCAAACTTTTACCATTCAATAAACATCTATTTGCATTATTGAAAGCTCTGTTACTGTGTTTGTCTTTTAAGACAAAGGATGCTAATGTATGAGTTGTTTTTTCTAAACTAAAACCTCAGTATTCTGGTTTAATCACAATGCCAGCACTTTCTGAAAAGTCACTTTTGGGCACTTGATCTCTAAAAGTTTCACCATCACTGCTCTACACACTGAGCCAGTTTCAACTGTGTGACCATTCTCTGCTGGGCGTGATGCCTAAACATAGAACACCTTATATAGATGTCTTACAGATAAATAATTTAGTGTAAGACATATGAGAGTTCGTACAGAAGATAACAGAGATAAAATGAGAAGAATCTATCCTGGGGATAGGGGTTTTCTGTTTCTTTCTCTAATTTTTTTAGGCAGTGTGCTCTGGCAGCCCTGAAGGATGTCCATAACTATTTCAGCCGTGAGGAAGGACACGTTGCGGTAAAGAAATTTCCATTTTTTTCCTTGAGTATATGCTTGAATGGAGAATAGCTAATATGTACTGAGTGTTTACTATGCCATAAATTATTGTAAGTACTTTGCATATGTTCATACTTTAATTCCGCTCTCCCCCATAAGTGTTGTTACTATGCCCCATTTTAGAACCAGGAACAATGCCTCACAAAAAGACCGAATAATTGCCCAGTGTGGCATAACATGTACATGGCAGGACCAGAAATGGAATCCAGATTGTACAGCTCAAGGATCTCCACTCATAAGTACTGCTCTGTACTGGTCCACTCCGAAAAATTCAGTAGGACTATAACTCGAATTTGAAACTATATTATAAACATTTTTCAATTCTAGATATTTACCTAAATATGTAGTTGATTTAATCCCATACACCTGTGGGGTAAGATTTGCAAATTTTAAAAGCATAAGAGACCTTCAAATAAGTAAATGGTCTGATCTGAGGTGCTGAGAATAGGAAATTGTTTCCTCTTCTAAGGACTTCTAATGTGATAAAGAAGGAAGAAGCTGCACTTGGGAGTTTGGGGAACCAGTTCTAGCTCTACTTATCAACAACTCTTGGTGGCTTTGGCCAAAGCAAGTCCTTCCTAGGCCTCATTTATTTCACCTGTAAAATGGCCCTAATAAAAATTCAGAATTTTCCTCTTGCCTTATTACGTGCACAAAGTTGGGTATACTGGGCAGACATTAATGGCTCAATGACTGTTTATAAAATTGACACAAGGCAATTCTAAATCATTCCTTTTTTTCAAGACCTTCTTGAAGTTCTGCCTTCTCTGGAAGCTTTCCACTTAGGACAGGGATGGACAAGGAGAGGATGATCTCACAGCACTAGTTCACAGTGAGCCAACCTCATTACCCATCTCTAGGTTTTTGATGCGACCAACACTACCAGAGAACGACGGTCACTGATTCTACAGTTTGCTAAAGAACATGGTTACAAGGTACAATAAAACTCCCACTCTTGTCTAGAATCTACTTTTTCTAGCACAAACCCCAAATAAGACAAACTGAAATGTTCAGAGCAACCAAATTGGCCACCATAGACTCAGTATCTTAATTGAGTTGTGTAACTTTCATGATACAGTCAGAAACAGCAAACTAGCAGGAAGGGAAAGGTACCACCTTAGGCAATGCTGATAGGCTTACACTGGGGGATTTGGAGGATATGCAAGCAATGATGCGGTAGAGAGAACTACTACAAAGTATATATCACTAAAAAAAACAAAACAGCAATCGATTTGGGGCTGTTCAACTTAAAGCAGGCTGCCTCATAAAACTCAGAATCCTGACAGTACCGTTGTATGAGAACATTGTGTTGTCAGAGGATGCCCCTGGGAAAGACACAGCTCCATTAAGAAGGGGTCAAGCTATGTTTGGCTTCTATCTTAAATAATTGCCTGCTGTAACTCTCCTCACTTTTTTTTTTTTTTTTTTTGCAGCGTCAAAGGTCTAACCTAGGGTCTAGCACATGCATGGCAAGTGTTCTACAATACTGAACTATATCCCCAGCCGTAAAACTTACTTTTCTTTTTCTCTTACAGGTCTTCTTCATTGAGTCCATTTGTAATGACCCGGAAATCATTGCAGAAAACATCAAAGTAAGAAGCAGCGGTAACCTTTCCTCCTTACTCTTCCTCAGGCCTCGACCATGACTAAAAAGACCTCTATGAGATTAAGGAAGTATTCCTGTCTGAACTTCCTCTCTTCCCACTTGGCATAGGAAGCATATCCTGACCATCCTATCCCACAACGATCCTATGAAATTAGATTAAGTCATACAGACTCATTAATGTGCACCAAGCAGCAAACTTGACTGTCATTAATTTTTTCACAAAAACATCTGCATGTTAGGGATCATTTCCCTATTAGAGGAAACAGATTCCATGGGGAGAAGTGAGTTGTCATATTCATACCACCAGAAAAAAATAGAAGTAGAACTGTACCTTGGCTGTCTGCTTTGAAAGCCTATGTTCTTTTTCCTTCCCCAGAGTTCATATCAGGACCATTGCTGCTCTTAGATTCTAGCCATGTGGTCTAGAATTAGATTACTCACCACATTTTGTTGTTCCCATCTTCATCAAAGTACAAGAACTCAGGGAAAGAAGAGACCTTATAGATGATCTCCTTCAACCTTCCATCAGATACTTGAAGAATCAGATAAATGTTTATCTTTTCTTTTCATACCTGCACTAACAGAAGACTAATTGACTTTAAGAAAGGTAGTCTAATCAAGCTGAAAATTGCCTCCTTGTAACATCCACTCATTGGTCTTATTTTTACCTCTTGAGATATAAGTATATCCATCTCCTCTCTTCTCTCTGCATCTATTAGTCCATCCATTTTTTGGTTCAACGGAAATTGATTGTACACCTGAGCTAGGCCATTCTAAGCAATAGATAAACATAAATGATAGGTGAGAGTCCTTCTCTTGAGCTCACAGTCTATTGAGGGGAATTGACCAGTATATAGCTAGAACTCTGAGATCAGAGCTGAGGGAATAGAGGAGGCTGATGACCTAAGCTTGTACATGGAGGTATGTAAGGGAATGATTCCAAATGGAAGTAATAGTTGAACTACATCTGGAACAATGCGTGAGAATTTTTGAAGTGAAGAATGGAAATGCAGGGCTTGGGATATAGCTTAGTGGCAGAAGCACCTACCTGGCAAGTGCAAAGTCCTGAGTTTGATTCCCAGTACAAAAAAAAAGGAATGGGAATGAGGGAACAGCAAATACTAAGTATAGCATCTCCAAGGAAATATAAGTAGCATGGATTGACTGAAGCAAAGTGTATGGAGGAATAGGGAAGCAGCAAGAGATGAGGATGAAGAAATAATTTGGGCCCAGTCACAAGTCATAAGTTACTAGTATAGTTTACCCTTTGTCCTAAAATGGACAAGGAAATATTTAAGCAGGAAAATGACATGGTCATATGTTCCTGTTAGGAGTATCTTTCTGTCAGTATGATGAATACATCTGAAGTAACATGACTATAGACAGAATAATCAGTCACAAAGCTCTAGTGAGCACAAGCAAGTGAAATGGATATTTAGAAGAGAGAAGAGGATGTGGTGCCTGATAGGAGAGAAGGGATGATAAAAAGAGGCATCTGAGATGACTTCCAGATTCTGTACGGGCTCAGATAACTGGGTGGATGAGATGGGGATTGTGGGGGAAATGGTAAGTATTGGGGGATTAGGAGATCCCAGGCTTCAGAAATCCAAAGACGGTGTACCAACTTCTCCCAGTAGAAACTCAGTATATGTAAGCCATGATTACTTCTGCCCCAAATCCTTGGTTCCACTTCAGCCTTTTCTCAAATTATAATTTCTAGTCCTCTTATAAATTTCTAATGCAGTGTATTCTTGAGAGCTACATATAATGTAACAGGCTTTGTTTGACCACATAGAGATTAGGAATGAGTTGTCACACAGTCTGGAGTCTCTTCAATGGATTAATTTTGTAAACTTGGATGAGACCTTTCTCTGAGACTTAATTTCTTCACCTGTGGTACTCAGTGGTCTATAAGGGCCCTTCCCAAGGACACTGTTAGAGTTTAGGTCTCGCAATGTTTCCCTTGGTCCCTATGTCCTCCCTTCTCCTAGCAAGTCAAACTTGGCAGCCCTGACTACATAGACTGTGACCGAGAAAAGGTTCTGGAAGACTTTCTGAAGAGAATTGAGTGCTATGAAGTCAACTACCAGCCTTTGGATGATGAATTGGACAGGTAAGACCCCAGCACCCTAAAGTCAATGTGTGGGTTCTTAACCCAGGTTTGATATCCTATAGGATGTCAAATAGGATGAGGAAATGTCCCTCCTTTATGGGCCTCAACTTCTCCATCTGGGACACTACAAATGGGACTTAACGATCATCTTTATGAACCTTCTTAGCTCTAATGGTCCATGAGGCAGAGATTCTTTGAAATGTGAGGTGTTCATGAGATGACTAAAATAGTGCTTTCCTGAGCAATATGAATGGATCAGAATTCTGATCTCGGAGGACAAATGCTTCCCTCTTGGGTTGTTGCCATTGTTAATTACAAAAGTGTTCTTCACGCAAGCATAACACTTCATTTTCCAAAATGTTCACCTTCTTTTGTTCAACCCCCACAGCACCCCTATAAAGGAGATTGAGATATATATTATAAATTTCCTAGAGAGCTAAAACTACTTTCACACGTTCTTACCATGAATCAGGAGTAGAGCTGGAATTCTAGCCATATATTGAACCTCCTCATCATGTCTTTTTTCACAGCACTCATGCAACTTTTCAGTCAGCAAGTATTTGGCCCATTTGGGCTGTGGTGTATTTAGAGGGTATTAATAGGGGCAAGAGAGAGGGGTTCTATTCTCAGGTAGTTTGCATAGAACCTTGACATATGGGAAGATCCATGAAGAACAAATTTTCTTTCATATATCAGGTAAAAATAGGAGGCATTTTAGATGGCATTACAGGAAGGTATGCATCTAGGTATAAAGTATTCCTAGAACTCTATTTCCTTTCAGAATGGGTTGACATGAGAAGAGACTATGATCACTCACTCATACCATTTGAGATCCAAGTGTGAAGCATAAGAAGATCTTAAATGATCATTGCCACCCTAAGAAACTGAAATAGCATCCTTTCAGCTTTACCTAGCTGAAGTATTGAGAGATGAGCATTGCTATTGTTCCATGCCTTAGTCAGGGAAACTGAGGCCCAGATCAGGTAAAAGCTTACCTGAGACTACACAATGAGACATCATCAGAGTATTATTGAAATTCATTTCCCCAAAATTTCAGCATGTTTCTCCCCACTTCTAAATCCTAATATCATAAATACTATCAGACAGGGCTTAGATACTGTGCAAAAGGTATGTCCTTTATGTATGGTTGTGCAGATTGTTTACGAGTACACTGGTCAAAGGCATACTTGGTTCTGTCACTGAGACATGTGCTGAAGTAGGGCTATGTATCCTCTGAGGAAGGGGTGGCTTTTTCAGATTTCTAAGTGGGCCTTTACTGAAAGAACCATGTGGGCTCTCAGCTTATGCTGGAAGGAGATTGAAGGAGGGGGGATGAAATGAAAGAACTATGTCAAGAAAGCTCCCAGCTGTAGGTCTGGATTCTGACAGGTATGCTGCTGGCTTCTGATGAATGAGTTTGAGCTGAAGAAGACGTATCTAGAAGGCCAGCTTCATTTCATCATTTTTTTCCATTAATAGACATTTATAGTTCATGCATCAGGTCCAGCCTTATCTGTGCCTGAGGAACCCAAAGAGGGAAGGGTTACCCCTACTCTGATAGAATGCCTAATTGGTTGGAGAAGAAAATTTGCAGACATTTGATCACAATTGTGGAGACAGTAAACCAAATGGTTTAAAGGGACATAAGAGGGCATGTGTCCCAGCTTGGAGAAATAAGGCCTAGAAGAACTGGTTTACCCAGTAAGCAGATTAAATATGTGCTTAGGGCAGTGGCAAGTTTCCAAAACTAAAAAGAAAAAAATTTTAAAGATTTTAATATTTTAATAGCATTTCAAAAATATAATCAAGGTAGTCAAAATGGAGAAAAAGTAATTTGGTAAGACCTCCTCATATTATACATATAGTTTACAGTTTACATGGGGAATGAGCATGAGCTCATTTTAGGAACACTTCTAAATGACTTTACTGACCCTGGGCTAGAAGATGACTTCTTGGAGAAAATAAAGGTCCTGGCTCTTGAGGAATAGATACATAGGACTTCAGCTTTAGAAATCAGGCAAGGGATGTCTTTTCCACCAAAGAGAACAGCACTTGGTAAGGGCCTAGTTAAATCAGAGTAAGAGGAGTACAAAGAATGTTTCAAGTGTAACAGCAAAGGCATGAAGATAAGAATGGAACAGACGGTATGGGTATGGCTTGGGTCTATGAGGTAAAGACAACATAAAACTGAAGAAATTGGATGTTTTCCTAGAGTCACACAGGACCTAGTGTTAGGAACAGAGAGTAACCAGGCAACAAGGTTATGTCAGGTATTTTGTACTCCTACATTCTGAGGGCCTTAGGAAGGATGATTGGAGAAAGGAGATTCTTGGCAGCTTCCTGAGATAACCTTAGGAAAATTGCATCCTCTGGGCTTCAGTTTTTCATGTATATAAAGCAGATGATAATCACTTTTCTGTGTAATGGCTGTGAAGATTCATGTACTTTAAAATCCCTGCTCCTTCCCATATGCATAGAAAATGTTCAATAAATGCAGTAACTGCACATGGATCACAGGGCTGAGCATGATGAGTATGGTGCAGACATAAAGGACTTGTCTAGCAGGATCAAGGGAGAAGCTTTCTCAAACCTAATCCATAAGCAGCCGTAGCTGCCTTGGGCTAATACAGTACTGCTCTTTCCATTCACTTGGTTTTCTTAGTTTGCAACCAGGCCCACTGGTGTCATCTCATTGCATCCGCTTTCCAGGGATCTCTCTGAACTTACAGTCTAACACAAAAAGGATTAATGGCTAGCGTGGCGGAGATCTCAGGACTCTTGTTCCATAGTTCTAGTTTTCTGATTCGTCCTCCAAGCTCCTGCACCGACAAGTGGTTGAATAGTTTGTCACTCAGTGTGTAGTTATTGGTTTATGACATAGCACAAAAATGAGGGAACAGCAAGGAGCTTATAGCAAGGGCTATAAGTTTCCCTTATGTGATACTGTGGACGACTTCTGTATCCCCGTGTCCCAGTACTTGGCACACTTTACAATGAGTGTTTGTAAAATGAATGTTGAGCACTGATCATATGTTTCCAAGTGTATACTTCTGCCTGACCTAAGAGTTCCCAAAGGGAAGATGCTGCCTGTCCATCTCAAGCATACCTTTGTAGATTGCATGGCAAATAGGGAAAGACCTCAGCCTGGCCTACTTACAGGTGAAGAAAGGTACACAGATGCAAGCATAGACACAACCTTGTAACTGCCTGTGGAGTATAAAGTACAGTGTATCATGACTGAGGCTTAAAGAGGGTGATGGAGTTCAGGTTATGATTAAAAAGCATGGGGGAATGAACAAGACAAGAGCTACTAGCGAAATATTGGGAGTCAGCCAGGGACACCAAAGATAACTATTTCATATGACAGAAGTGAGACCCACAAAGGAGAGAACCTCAGTGCTGCTGCCTACATTGTGAAGAGTAAAAGTAAAAAGACAGCCTGGCTCAAACTGAGGCTGAGAAAAGAAGACTAAGGGAGACAGTAGCAAGCAGTGAGCTACTTGGGGTATTTATGAACTTCCTTTCTAGGACCTGTATCCAAAACAGGGCAAGGCATGGCAGCTCATTAGATAAGAAGTGAATTGCAAAGGAGACTTGAAAGCAGGGTGTGTGGTTGGGGCTTTCCCTTGGGATCAGCCCTCCCTACTGCTAGCTCCTGAGCTGCCCTTGCTCCTGTTTGGGTCTGGCCCAGCCATCTGTCCTACATCAAGATCTTTGATGTGGGCACACGCTACATGGTGAACCGAGTGCAAGACCACATCCAGAGCCGTACAGTCTACTACCTCATGAACATCCACGTCACGCCGCGCTCCATCTACCTATGCCGGCATGGTGAGAGTGAACTCAACCTCAGAGGCCGCATCGGAGGTGACTCAGGCCTCTCAGCTCGGGGAAAGCAGGTAGGGAGGTCTCTGCACACTCAGGTGGGTGGTCTGGGTGAGCTGGGTGGCCACTGCCTAGATCCTGAGGAGCAGGTACCCACTGATGGGGTAGAAGCAGATTCTGATAACTCTTGGTCTTACACATCACTAGTCACTCAGTCTTGATACAGCCATTGAGTGGTTTCCACATGCCAGCTGCTGCCTCCAAATCTAATAGCTCGCTCCTGGTCCTCTGGTCCAGCCTGGATCTGGCTGCTTCTGCAGCCCCATCACAAAGACCTTAGTTGCCCCTGCCTGATGGGTTCCCTCATTATTCACAGCATTTGGCCTTTGCCTGTGTCCACCTTCCTGCTCTCTTTGTCCCTCTGTCAGCTGGTAACCTTCATGCACACAGACAGCTGCCCTGAGGACCCTACTCGGATACCTTCTCTCCAAATCAGGGCTGATGCTGCCTCCTTCCCCCATCACAGGACTCACAGTGCCAACATTTTATTGCATCTTTCTTGACTCCCTGATTCCCTTCCAAGGCCCAGCTTCTGGTCCAAGATCTGGTCCAAAAAACCCTCCTTATCTACATCTCCACCTCCTAGGCAGGTCACAGAGCTCTGGGCTCTATCTCTCCTCATTCTGATTATCTTCGGCTGTCTCAGGACACAAGTCTCTCCCTCCCATGTGGACATAGTGACCTGCACATTCTGGGTGCTGGAACTATAATAGGGTGCATTTTCCCAGCTGCTGGCGCTGTGGCTGAGTGTGATAGCACAGATGGTGCTTACGGAGAGGATCACTTGGGGTGGGGTAAGTGGGAAATGAAGTGCAGAAAGGACGTTCACGGTCCTTGTTATTATTGTCACATACTGGATACACACACAGAGTCACGGTGCCATCTGCCACCACGTGTATAACCTCATTTAATCTTTACAATAGCTGCGTGGGAAGGGGTAGTGATTGCTATTACTCGTTTATAGATTGGGTCCAGAGAGGGACAGAAGACGGCCCCAGATCACAGAGTTTGTATAGGACACAGCCAGGACTGGCCAGGCCTTCCTACCTGGCGTCAGCCTCCCTGCTAGAGAGATAGGAAGTATCCCAGGCTCAGTGCTGCCTCAGAACACTCAGCCCTCAAAGCTCCCTTCTGTTACCTCCAGACTGGCAGCCTCCCCTCAAGGTAGGCTCTGATCTGACTCCCACCTCTCCTGCTCCTCAGAGCAGAGGCCACCAGATGATCAGCCCTCCCCCGTGGCACCACATGCACCCCAGGGTTTCTTGGCTGGAGCTGGCCCTGCTGCTGTGTCCACAGCTCAGAGCATGGGGGAGCATGTAGCCATCTCCACGTATGTGCCTCCCACACATACAAACAAGTACATATGCGCACACCCGTCAGGCCTGGACCTTCACCATGATGGGTACAGTGCACCAGATCCGGTTTACAAGTACTTTCCCATTGACTGTCTTACCAGTCACCACACTTGTCACCTGTGCAGACTGTTAAGTACCAGGGAGTGGTCTGGGTGCACCTTACCCATCATCTAAAGTGATACTCAGAGACTGATGTGCTGCTTACATCTTACAGGCAGGATACAAAGCTAGAGAGGGTCCTAGACAATACAGTGGCACACAGGGCCCATGTAAGCTGTCCGTGGAGGCTAACCCAAATCTGTTACCTCACAGGCAAGAACTTCTGCCAGAGCACAGCTGATTCATAACTGTCCTTAAATGTATACATAAAATAGCTGTATGTGTAGATATACTTGTATGCCAGTGTACATTTATTCAGATGTTCATAGCAGACACCATCAGTGATTCAAAACACACCTATTCAGAGTGAATCCTTTTCTCTCTTGAGTTCCCACAGTCCTGTGTGGTTCTTCTCAGTGCTGTCATTATTTCCTTCCCTATATTGGCTATATCTTGAGAAAAAATTACTGAAGCACCTACCAAGGACATACACACTCAATACATACATGAGTGCCCTTCAAATTTGGGTACCAGGAACCTCACTCAATGGTAATCCACATCATGAAGGAGAAATTTCACCCAAATCCCATTCTATCCACTGTGGAACCTACTTCAGTTGTTTTCACTGGCCTGTCGTGAGTATCTGTCTGCCTGAGTATGGGCTGGGTCATAAGAGTGTTCACCCTTAGGCCAAAGGATAGTTAAGGGGTCACTCTTCGTGGAGCCTGGATATCAGTGTAGATGAGATGTGACCAGAACTTGGTCATATGGCTTGATCATCTACAAACATGTCCTTAAGGCCCCTAGAAGTACAGGATGGCCCCAGAAATGAAAGGGCAAAGGAGGTGGACTGTGGGTATGGCCCCACCATTTTTACTCTTGCCCTAAGCTCCACAAATGTTAGAATGAATGTTTACAAGAATGAATACCCTAGTATGGGGTGAAGTGAGCAAGTATCAGTGACTACACACACACATAGACACACATAAGCACACATACTCTTTTCTATTTCTTTTACCATTAATCACATGAGGAAGAGTAAACTATTTTGGTTTTTGGCTTTTTTTTCTACATTTTGTAATTGCACATATTTTGGGTGTAATTGATATTTCAAATATATAAATACCACCTCACATCATTTCTTTGTGGTAATTCTCTCTTCTAGGTACAGTGGTACCTCAGTTCATGAACTTAATTTGTTGATTTTGGAAAATATGGCCACGTTTGTGTTTGTGTGGGAAACATGGCTGTGTTCATGTTTGTCACCCAATACAGAGTTTGCAAAGAAAAACAAAGTTTTGCAAAATGCTTTGCTTGTGAACTAAATTGTTTGCAAAGTGTTTGTGAATTGAGGTACCACTGTATTTTGAAATACACTGCACCTTATTTTTTACTATAGTTGTTACTCTATTCTGCAATAGAATATCAGAATTTGTCCTATGACCCTGTACTTATTGATCAACTTCTCCCACAACAGTGTGCATTTTGATAAATTTGGAACATTGAAGCTCTGCTCCTGCTTATTCATAACTACTCCATTATTTGTGGCACATTTGAGTTTATTCTCATGGTTCCCTAATCTTTTCTTATTTGTCTTTTTCTCCTCTTCTCCACTCCCACATCCCAGTATGCCTATGCCCTAGCCAACTTTATTCAGTCCCAGGGTATCAGCTCCCTGAAGGTATGGACGAGCCACATGAAGAGAACTATTCAGACAGCTGAGGCTCTTGGTGTCCCCTATGAGCAGTGGAAGGCCCTGAATGAGATTGATGCGGTAAGATGGAAAGGGTGAATCTCCTTACAGATCAGGGGATTTGGATCTGAGTGTATTGCCTTGGTTGCCTATGTTCCAACCTGTACGAGGAACTTAACTCAGTGAATATTTTTTGACAAACAGCCATGTTCCAGACACCATTCCTTTCTTGGATATCCAGTGAAGGCCAGGGTCTTTGCCCTCATGGAGTCCAGAGGCAGACAGTAAACTAGGAGGGGATATAAAAAAAAATACTATGGAGGATCAGAAGGTGAAGGTACTCCTGACCAGACTTGGGAAGGAGGTTTATAAGGAAAGCTTCCTGGAGGAAACGAGAGGTGAGATAAGAAGCAGGAAAAATGGTTTGAGAATGGGACAATAAATTTTAGTTCAGGGACAGGAAACAGCACATGTAATGGCTCAGAGATGAGAACAGAGCATGGCGTGTTTGTAGAAGCAAAAGAGATGCCGGGACAGTGATAGTGAGGTCTGGAGAGAAAGGAGATAAGGCTGGAAAAAAAGACCCAAGCCATGTTGAATTTAGATTCTTCCCTGAAAACAACAGGAAGCCATTGATATGATCTATATTCAAAAAAGAGTGGTCTGAACATAATACACATTTTTAAAGCCCATTCTAAGCTTGTATGGAGACTCGCTGGGAAAAATAATAGAATAAGCATTTAGACCAGCCAGGAAATGGCTGTATTAGTGTGACAAGAGGTAAAGAAATGGACCAGAGTAGTGGCATTAGAGATGGAATGAAGAAGGACTTGGGGAGTGTTTCCAGGGTAGCATCACTATGTGGCTTGATGGTACACTGATTATAAGAAGTAAGGAATAGGGAGAAGTGAAAGATCCAACCCTGGTGATGTGGCAGTTTCTCTTCAAGGACAGGTTTTCCTGTGAGCTCTTTGAGAAAGAAGTTTTTTCCTTTTGCTATTTTACCTGTGCTGCAGATATACTGGCACTGAGTCTGCAGGTTATGGTTGTTAAACTCCAACGTAGAACATCATCAGAGGTATAGGAAATTTGCTTTCCTGCTAGATATTCTTCTATAGATAAGACATATATGAGTGTGTACATTCATGCACATGGACATAAATATAGCTGTGCAGAAGTACACATATTTAGAAAAGGGCTATATAGTGCTATTCAATATATCGTGTACATTTGCAATAAAATATGTGCATGAAAATATGTAAACTCTTCATCATAAGATTTTGGCTGCTGCTTATTTCTGGCCCACATGTGTGAACATTTATGGAAAACCTGCTTTTTCGAGTTCTGGGGTAGTGCTAGAGGCAAAAGATTAATGTTGACTGAGTTGACTCAGGCTGAATTGGTTCAAGTCAATCCTATCTTGACTGAGTTTTCAGGCTAAACAGGGCAGACAGAGGAATACAAAACAGCATGACTCTGATTACTGAAACTGGGCACGTAGAAGCCAAGGCAAAGCACCTTGGCCTAGCCAGGATATGCCTAGAGGTAGTAATGCCTAGCAGACATCTGAGGGTTAAGTAGCAGTGAACCAGGTAGAGAGGCTATGGAATGGTGTTTTGGGTAGAGAGAGCAGCATTAGCAAAAAGTATCATGTGTATATACAAATTCTAAAGTTAAAGCAGTGAAGATAGGGAGGAAAAAGATTAAGAGAAATTCATGAATTCAAATCTCAGAAATTGGCTATAGGGGATGGATAAGGAAGAATCAAGAATTTAGAATGATGCCTAAGTTTCTGGTTTATTTTCCATCATTGATAGTATTAATGTTTATTCCCATTGATTCTTTTATATGTGCCTTGTACATCTTGTACTAGTATATTACATATATAGTATCTCTAATATTCAAAACACTTCTATAAGTTGTAATTTTCATTTCCCAAGTGAGGAAAATGAAATTCACAGAGGTTAGGCAATTTGCTTTAAGTCAAGGAGTCAGTACCCATTCTCACAGGTAAAAAGCTCCCAACAAGCCTTAGAATAGAAAGTTGCAGCTGTTTTGGACAAGCTCGTATACCTAGTAGGGTACATTTTCTTCCATGGTAGTGTTGGTTGGAGAAATTAGATGGTGCAGAGCTGTTTGTAGGTTATAGCAAGGGCTTATTTCCTTATCCCTGAAGGAAACCTGGTAAATGATACCAAAAACTACAACCAGAGGCTTCTGCCACCCTGCAGGAAGGCCTTATTGGAATTCACATACTAACAAATGTTTAAAAACCAGCATCTATTCCCACCACCACAAACAAATGCTTCACTTCTGAAAACAAACATCTTGAACTGTTTCTCTTCTGCAATGCCCCTCTGCCATACCACCCTGTCTTGGAACCCGCCAATTATGGACTGAAACCTCTACAAATTGTGAGCCAAAATATGGAATAAACCTTTCTTCCTCTTTGTTTTTTTTGCTGTTCTTTTTTTTTTGTTTTGGTCTTTTTGAGACAGGGTCTCACTTTGCAGCTCAGGCTGGTGTGGAGCTCACTTTGTAGCCCGGGCTGGTCTCAAACTCGCAACAATTCTCCTGACTCAGCCTCCCATGTGCTGGGATTACAGGCATGTGCCACCACGCCTGGCTTCTTCCTCTAACTTTGGATGTTGGGTATTTTGTCTCAGCAATTCAAAAAGTAACTAAGACACATTTGGGTACTGAGAGTGGAGTCTTTGCTGTGAATGTACCTGACCATGTGGTTCAGGAGCCTTTGAAACTGGCTTGCAGGAAAAATATGGAAAGATTTGGAGATGCCAGATGAAGAAGCAGCTCTGGAATGCCTTAAACTGTATTTAATAGGAGATTCTAGTCAGAGCTCAGAATGCCAAAATGCTAATAGAAATGCTGCCAGTAAAGACTAGGCTCAGGAGATTTCTGCTGGGAAGAAGGACTGCATTGGTTGTTGGACCCCAGATCATGTGTGTTATGCCTTTTCAGAAAGATTGTCTACATTTTACTTGTGTTCAGAGAAATTGCTTGAGACTGAGATTAAAGGTGGCAGACTAATTAATCTTGCAGAAGAAATTTTAAGGCAGTCTAATGTTGAGGTGATGCATGATGGCATGGCTACTGTTGGGGGCTTTTAGCCATATCTGTGTAGAGTATCAAGAACAAAGAGTACTGAAGAATGATTTAAAATATTGTGAATTTGGGCAGAAATAAAGCTCCAGTAAAACTGTGGGCTGCAAAGATGGAAAAGAAGAGAACTTGGTTGCCGAGAAAGAATAGGACAATACAAAAAATGGCCTGAGGACATCACAGGAAACAGCAGAACCCCACCCTTGGCAGGCTTAAGGTTGCAGAGATGAAAAATTTGCTTTGAAAAGAGAGCCACCAGAGCACCAGGCTCCAGAATGATAGGGGCCTAGAGATCTTTTTCCTCAGAATTAGGTTCGTAGTGGTCAGTGATCCAGGCATTCAACCCTACAGCCAAGAGAGAAAGAAGCCTGGCTCCTGCTCCACCTATCAGCAGACCTTGGTGCCATCCACATTGTGCTGGTTTTAGGTATATGCAGAATGCAAGAGTTGTGGAGTCAGCAATGCTTCCACCCAGATTTCAAAAGAAGGGCTGAGAGGCCAGGAAATGTGCCCCTGAGAAGGCAGTGTGTGAAACTGTGAGTGTGAACTTCAAGGTATAGTGGAGGCCCAGAAGGTGGGAGAAGCCAGTAGCAAATGGATTGTCTGAGGAAGGGTGTGAGGGGTGAGCAAAGCCAGCCCAAGAGAGAAGCCTTGAGAGCTGCACCCACATGCAGTGACATAGAGGTGGAGCCACCCAAGCCTTTTAGTTTTCATATCTTGCTGCAGACTGCCTCAGATGCTGGATATGGAATTACAGGTCTTAATGTTTGCACTGCTGGATTTTGGACTTGCTTTGGTCCCATTCCATTCTATCCCCTCCCACTTGGAATGGGAATGTTTATCTTATGCCATTGTTTGTTGGGAATGTTTAACTTTATTTTTATTTGTACAGTGGCTTGCAGCTGAGAGTTCACTTTAAATCTCAGAGGAGACTTTATACTGGGACTTTTCAGCAATGCTGAAACTGTTAGGACTTTAGTGACTCTTTTTTTTTTTCTCCTCCGGTACTGGGAACTGAACTTACGACCTTGCGCTTGCCAGGCAGGCGCTTTTGCCGCTGAGCTAAATCCCCAGCCCCCCTTTAGTGACTCTTGGAGAGGGACTAAATGCCTTTTGCATAAATGGATGTGCATGAGTCTTTGGGGATTCGGGGGTAGAATGTTATTGTTTGTTTCTAGGTGTCCCCCCCCAGTGCCTCATGCAGTCATATGTGAGGCTCTTCAGAGGTGACTAGATCTAAGTGTGTGATGCTGGGATTAAGGGTGGATGATTACTAAATTAGTCCACTGATTGGTTTGACGTAATTCCGAGTGTAGATAATGAGAAGGCCCACCCTGGGTGTGAGTTCTATCTGTCCTAAGGGCATGTAGTCCAAATAAAGTATAAGGGACAGAAAGAAGACTGCTGTCATTGTTTATTGCCTGCTACTCCACGCTTTGCTGCCTTCTTCCCACCACAAACTGTTTCTCTTCTGTAATGTCCTTTTGCCATACCACCTTGCCTTGGAGCCAGCCAATTACGGACTGAAACCTCTACAAACTGTGAGCCAGTTTTCTTCCTCTAACTTTGGGTGTTGGGTATTTTGTCTCAGCAACACAAAAAGTAAGACACACTTAGACCCACATGGAGACCCATACCACAGAGACATCCACAAGGGCACATTCTCAGATGCTTAGACATCCTCTCTCTCTACACAAACACACACACACACACACACACACACATACACAGTCTTATTCAACATTTTGTCACTGTGAACAAATATTTGAGACAAACAACTTCAAAGAGGAAAGATTTATTTTGACTCATGGTTTCAGAGGTTTCAATTCATGGTCTTCTGACTCCAAGACAGAAATATGACAGAAAGACATGGTGGAAGAAATCTGCTCATCTCATGGCATCCAGAAAGGAGAGAGAAAGGGGAAAAGCTAGAGACAAGGGACTAGGGAACAGATACATTCCCCAAAGTCAGTCCTATACTTTACTGCCTTCCGTTAGGTACCACCTCCTCCTGATCTCCCAATAACCTCACCAAATTATGCTCTCATCAGAGTGCTAATCCACTAATGAAATTAGAGCCCTCACAATCCAATCACATCCCCAAAGTCTATCGGCTGGCCTTTGGGGTACCTTATAGATTCAGACCATAACACATAAACCATACAAACACACTACATATGCCAATACAAATATACACACAAGCACAAAGCATAAGTTCTTAAACCCATCACAAATACATGTTGTAAGTATGCTGCACACACATTTGTAAACACAATCACATGTCCTTATGCTTACATATTCACAAAAATACATATGTGTAAGGTGTGCCTATAGACCTACTGAGACAATCATAGAAAAACACCATACACTTAACCAGCCACATACTTCATCTGTACATATATAACATATACACTCACAAACAATAGGCACAACTTCAGCACTGTTCCCAGAGATCCAGGTGATCATGTTTTGCTCCATAATCACTGATCTAGGAAAAATATGGAAAAGGCTGTGTGTTTTTCACCAAATGAATACTTTTGTCTATTTCTTTTTCTTAGGGTGTCTGTGAGGAAATGACCTATGAAGAAATCCAGGAACACTTCCCTGAAGAATTTGCACTACGGGACCAAGATAAATATCGTTACCGCTATCCCAAGGGCGAGGTAAGGTTTGGAGGAATGGCCTAATTCCTAGGACTCATGCCTAACATCTCTATTCTGACTTCTAGGCTTTCATAGTTTCCCAAACAGCTTTAGAAGTAGGTGAAAGCATATTTTGCAGCACCTTCCATTTTTTAAAGCACACGGTCATCTAGCTCTTGGCTATCTCAAATTCTTAGCTTTAGGCAACAGATTCCTTTCTTGTAAAAGCTGTATATGTGCCTGCTCAAGCTCTGGTTTTAGGAGGGCCCATTTTATCCTACACCTTGTCTCTAGTATCCGCTGACTGTAGTTCAACATATTCTAATTTCATGACATTTTGTTGCCAAGTTGCTTAAAGCTCTAGCCTCTGTGGGCAGTTGGTATCATCTTCAGGGACAGTAGTTGCTTTTCCTGTTAACTTTGTCATCTCATGAACCAGATCATCAGTTGTCAATCTCCATATGAGATAAATGCTTGTTGCTTTTAATCTAGCCTCTACTTACTCAGTTCTACATTTTAGAATATTAGTCATACTCCTGTTATGATATAAATTCCTGTTAACAATTATCAGAATACCAGGGTATCTGAGAAAATGAAATAATAGATACTCTCTTCATTTATAAAGCACTTTCACATTTTTATCTTCATCCTCTGAAATAATCTATAAATGTAGACTCAGTTCACTTTCATTTTCCTTTACGTATTTGAGGCTGTTACTCAAGTCATAAAAATTTAAAGAAATCCTATCTTCTCTTCTCCATAAATTTCACATTTTGTTATTACAATTACAAAACCTCTTTTTCCTTACTAATGCTATTTGCTAAAAGTGTATTTTGTTTAATATTGATATAGCTATACAAAATTTCTTCTGATGACTTTGTTACTATGTATACGTTTCTGTTTTGTGTGCCTTGTAAGCAGCTTATAGTTGTGTTTTGTTGTTTGTAATCCAAACTGAAAATATGTCTTTTGGAAGGTAAGTTTGGTACATTTGTTCTTATTGTAATTACTCTTTTTTAAAAATTTATTTCTATGATCTTGTCTTGAATGTGCAACGCTTACTATATTTCTCTCATACCCTGGATTGAGTTTTTATATCTATATTCTGTTTAAATAATGTTTCCACTCCTTCAGTGGTTACCTTTAACATTTTTTAAATATTTCATCATGCTTCCTTCTATTCTTGTAGACATCCCACTAAGGGTATGACGTCAATATACTATATATTAAAGTCATTCAAAATAATTCTTTGTGTGTTGTTATGCAATGGATTTGAACACTTAACATTTTTTTTTTTTTGGTTTTTCTCCGGTACCAGGAACTGAACTCACGACCTTGCGCTTGCCAGGCAGACGCTTTGCCGCTGAGCTAAATCCCCAGCCCCACACTTAACATTTTAATATGTATGATTTAAAAATCTGAAATCAGTATTTCCACCATCCCCCCAAACAATAGAAGAACTCTGGCTACCTTCTCTCCTAATTTATATGTTCTTTTGTATTTTAGTGTAACCTTTGTCTTAATCCCCTAATGAATTATTAATGTAATTATTACTGTTTTTATTATGACTGAATACAGGCAATTTTACTTAGATATAATCACATATTTACCAATTTCTTTGCTCATTCTTGTTTCTCTACATCCCAAGTCTTATCTTCTACGTTCATTTTCCATCTTCCTTTGGAATCTACTGATAGTAAACTCACCCTTCTTTTTCCCTAAAACTATCTTTTAGGGAGGTGAGCAACTTTAATCCTAGATGATACATTGCCCAAGTATAAAACTCTAGGTTGACAGTTATTTTCCCAGCACTTTGAAGATATTACCATCCTTGTCTTCTGGCTTCTACTGTAGCTAAAAAACTTACTCAGTTTAATTGTTGTTTATTTTCTACTCTTAAAGTCTTTGTATCTTTTTTGCTGATGAGTTTCACTCTTATGTATCTCGATATTAAATTTTTATCTTGCTTGAAGTTGATCGAATTTCCTGAATCTGAAAATTGGAATTTTCAATTCTATAAAACTCTCAGACATTGTATCTCTAAAAGTCATTCCCTTAAATTCTCTCCATTATCTCTTTCTAGAAATAAAATTAGATAAGTATTAGATCCTTCATGTTCCCTAATTTTTCCTTCTAATTTTCTATCTCTTTGCTGTATTAATTTCTCCCAAATCACTGTTTCTTAAGTAATATGTAATATGCTATTTATCCCCTCCATTTAATTTTCAATCTCAATGAGTATATTTTTCATTTCTCAAATTCTTAATCCGTTTTCAAATCTGCAGCATATATTTGATAGTATCTTGTTTATTCCTTCTTTTTCAGGTACTTAGGATTGAACCCATGGCCTTCACACTAAGCTACATCCCCAACTATATCTGTCTGTCTGTTTATCTATCATCTATCTATCTGTCTATCTATCTATTTTTTGAGACAGGGTCTCCTAAGTCACTAAGTTGCCCAAGCTGAGTTTAAACTCGTGATCCTCCTGCTTTAACCTCCCAGAGTGCTGCAGTTATATGCCTTTCTTACATTTTAATTGCATATTTTATTTCTTTAAAAATAAAAAATACTTCTTTTATATTGTATATTATATAAGCTTTTAGGAATTTCCTCTTGTTGTTTCTGCGTATTCTCATCTATAGTATTTTATTTCCTTTTTTTATTTTAAAGAGAATAGTAGAAAAAAGAACAATAGCAAAATACAAAGAAAGCAAAGCAGGAACATTAAAAATGATACAGTGTTTCAAATCAAATGATAGGAATTAACAGTGGTTGTTATATTACATATTGTTATCTTCAGCGAAGCTGCTCAGATTACCACATGTACGAATGGAAGGTTGATCAAACCATTAAAGAGAATAAGAAAATAATAATTTTAAAATACATTGCATTTGTATTTATCTGTGGAAATTTACCTCTGGGAATCCCATACATCCTGAGGTGAAGAAATCCAGACATGTTCTATTTGTGTAAGTAGTCCTGGGAGCTAATGAATTTACATTGGTTTTTTTTGAAACTCTCAGCAAAACATATTACAAAGCACATGGGTAGTGTAATTATGATTTTCCAAGCTACCTGAGTGAAAATTTTTAGTTATAAATTCTTACAGGGGCCATTTCCTAGTTTTTTCCATCTAGATATAAGGAGAGCCAGATACATCTTATTTTCCTTTGCCTATGGATAGACTTTTTCTAGTTTGCTAGTTTTTTCTAGTTTACTTTTTCTAGTTTTATTGAGGATATCAACATTTGCCCTATGAGGGTCTCAGATTTATATTAGCATCTCAGTCCAAACTTCCCACTGTGTGTGTGTGTGTGTGTGCACCTAAGCCCCTTTTGCTATTTCTGTAACATTTAAAAATTCAAGCCTCTTGGTTACTATGATTAACAGGTACCCTCAGGACAGCTGTGGCTTCCATATCCACTAATCACTCCTTTTTCCAAGTGTTTCATTTTGGAACCCTATAGTCATAGAATATATTTTATTCTTTTAAAATGTCAGCAGTGCAGTTATATAGACAGAGAAAAAAGAAGACATCAGGCCGGGGATATAGCTCAGCAGCACAGTGCTTGCCTGGCAAGCATGAGGTCATGAGTTTGATTCCTGGTACCAAGAAAAATAAAAAGACATCATATATATATCTGCAAATTCTCCCAAATGTAAATATTACAAATATATATCAATAAGTTCCTCCACTGTAGAAAATTGAATGGCAACATGAATTTTATTAAAGATTTATTTCTTCATTATTTTTAATAATATAAACAAACAGCATGCCAAAAAAATGAAGACATCTTGTAGTGAGGAGGTTTATTATTATTTAGCCCACTATATTGATTGCCCCTGTTTAACAAATGAGAAACTGAGACTGTAAGAAAGAAGTGAGTTGTCTCTTGAGTCAACAACTCAACTGATCCCAGAACCAAGTTTTCCTGATTCCTAGGCCAGAGGTCTTCCTCTCCCCATCTCCCTTTCTTACTCCAGTATTTTTCTCGTATCTAGTCCTATGAAGATCTGGTTCAGCGTCTGGAACCAGTTATAATGGAGTTAGAACGACAGGAGAATGTACTGGTGATCTGCCACCAGGCTGTCATGCGATGCCTCCTGGCCTACTTCCTGGATAAAAGTTCAGGTAATACCCTCCTCACTGTTCCTAACATGGGGTACTGGACGTGATTTAAAATCCTGAAACTAGCAGTTAGAGGTTTGTATCTCAGAAGTTCATATCTAATTACATATGTTATAATCCTAGCACTTGGAAAGCTGAGGCAGGAACATCACAAGTTCCGGGTGAGTCTTGGCTGCAGAGCAAGCCCCAGGCCAGCTTGGACTATACAGAAAGACCCCATCTCCAGAAACAGTGCACTATCTAAAATGAGATTGTTTGAGTTCAGGTTCTTTGTTATATACTAACTTTACTACCTTTGACAATGTACTGCAATCCTTCTGGCTTTAGTTTTCCCATCTGTAAAACTGGGAGAATAATGGTGAAACTCAAACAACATATCTAAAGAGCTTAGGACAGTTGATGGTACATCATATGGGCTAAGTGTTAGCTGCTATTATTAGTATTAGTATTATTCTGAGCTGATATTTTCAAAGCCAGCATTGATAGCCTGCCTCAGTATTAAATGCTGAGACAGTATTTCCCTGAAGCATGTTGTCCTGAGGTAATAGTGGGACCTTCTGTAGCCTCATTATCCTAATTACATATTTGTCTTTGCTGTGGGGTTGATTTCTGCAAGATAGTGATGTTTCATTTCAGTTTCTTTCAAATGGTCACTCAAAAAAATCTAGACATTTTTTTTTTAGAGTATCTATACACTAACTATATACAATAAACGGCAAACTAGGGCAGGTAGCCTGGCAAGGGACTACTGTCTCACTTTCACATATGAAAGTCCATTTTTTTTTTTCAAATAGACAAATAGTTCATGTGATTTATTGTACATCATGGTGACTATAGTTGATAACAATGTATTATTTTCTTAAAAATTGCCAAGAAGGAATTTTAATTATTTTTGCCATTAAAAAGATGTAAAATAATACACAAGTTTATTAGGCTGATTCAGCCATTCCAGAAGAAAGTCCATTTTTAATGTGGCTGCTGAAGTATTGTCATTTCCAAGTTATCTTAAAGGTATTTGAGGACAATGCATAATGATATTCAATGCCTGCAACATTCTGAACTCTTGACTCTTTGTGATGCTAGTTTCAAACCAAAGAGCATTCATAATACGGAGTTATCCAGAATTGAAACCCAGGGAAATTGAGAACATGCCAATGAATAAGTCATTTTCTCTTCCTGGTCTTCAATTTCCCCACTGGGAATCAGTGATGGGATGTGTGGTAGGGAATTTTGCACTGCCAGATTTCTTTTATGTTCACATCTCTACTGCTCAGGACAATTTTTTGAGACCATGAGGCAGGCACTAAAATTTCTTTTGTCCAGATGAAAAAGTTAAGGCCCAGAGAAGTGAAGTGACTTGCCCAAAGTCATGGGGCTCAGAGTGTAAAGGATCAGAGTAGATCCGAGGTGCGTGTCAGCGGCCCTGCCCTCTCAAATATTCATGGAGTATGGGGAGGGCAAAAGTACTTCTCTCTTCCTTCACTTTCTGCCCACTTTTAGACACAGGCCATCCCAGCTGCTCACAACTGTCCTGGGAACAAGGCAGGGTGGGATTGGAAAGATGGTCTTACCCCATTATTTAGGTGAATAATGGCACTAGGCCCAGAGAGATGATATGATTGGGAATCTGGATGCACACAGCCACAGAGCTGGGGCACTCTCAGAGTACACCTAGTCCAGTCCCTTCCTATAAGATAAAAGCCAGAGTTATGAAACTCAGTGAAAAGCCTGGGCCTGTGTTACTAGTTGAGGCAGTGGCAGGGCTATGTCCGAGATCTCAAAAAGTTGCCTTCCTTTCCCTGAGTCTCTTTCCTCATGTGAACAATGAGAGTAGACAGGACCACAGCACATCTGTGAAGATGCACTGGGATCATACACAGGAAGCCCTTGGCCTGGGCCTGATACTAATGATGACAAAGATGAGGAGCAGGATAGATGCCTAGAAAAATGCCTGTGTCTCAGGAGGCTGAGAGGCTGATGGCAAGCTTGGTAAGCCTAGGATGAGTCTAAGGGACAGAAAGCCACAAGTGATATTCTAGCTAAATTAAGGGAAATAGTGAGCTGTAGTGCAGCCTGGGTAGGGGGAGAGAGGGAGTAAGGAGAAAGTGCCCAGTAGGTAGGTATGTCACCTCCAGGACATTATAACACCTTCATGGCAGCAGCTTCAGACTGTAGAGGTGGAATAGGCAAGCTGTCCTCAGAAAATCCTGTGTTAGAGTCCCGTACTGCCGCTTCTTGGCTACATGACTTGGAACTAGTGCCTTTCCTCTTGAAGCCCCAGTTTCCTCATCCATGGATTGGGCCTAATCACCTCTTCCTCTCAAGGATACCTGTTAAGTCAGTTGGACAATGGGACTAGACAAGAAATTGTACATGAATATTGAAATCAGAACAACTTTCTGCATAACAGTCAATAACTGGAAAACAGTGAATCAACCAGTTCTTGTCCGTGAATCAGTGAGAGAGGGGTTAGATTAAGCTGCCCTGGGCCAGGGCCAATGCTGTGGATGTGGTCACATACCGTGTACACTTCTGCTATGGAACTGGTACAGATAATGTTCTCAATAAACACTTAATAGGAATTTTTGGGCCTTTGTGCTGATCATATTTGTGGAAGGCCTGGGCTGGGGTAGGAGGGAAACCTGCCTTTGTCTCCTGTTAGGCCTGAGAAAGGAGGTAGCCACCTCCACAGGACCTCCCTGCCCCTCCCATGACCTTCCGTTTGCCCATCTTTCTTAAGATCTTTCCTCCCTGCTCCTAGGTCAACCTGGCTGCATCATTTGTCCCTGCCCAGATTGCTTTTAGCACTGTCCCCTGCAGACTACAGCGTGTGTGTCTCTGCTGAGGCCCACTTGGGGAGGGGCGATGGAAGTAGGGGGAGTACCCACCAAGACTGGAAGCTGGGGACATGGTGCTGTTCCCAGTACTGCATGTCTGAGAGATGTTTCTTCCTCTTTTCCAGATGAGTTGCCCTATCTCAAGTGCCCTCTGCACACAGTGCTTAAACTCACTCCTGTGGCTTATGGTGAGTACCCCCACCCTCATCTAAGATATTCAGAGGCCATGAACGTGCCATCTGCCAAGCAGAGGCCTGAAAGAGGTTCCCTGAGTAGGCGGTTCAATGGTGCAAGGGGGCCTTGTGAAAGCAGGAACAGGGAAGAACTCAGTTTGCTAGATGGCTTGGCTCCAACTTTCTGTCTGTGCCACAGCACTGAGTACAGAACATTAAGCTGCCAAGGAGGGAGCCCTGAACGAGAATGGAGGAAAATTGTAGGTTGGGGCCATACTGAAGAACTCAAAGACCAATCTAGGCAGTTTAGATTCTCTCGTGATATTAGTTAGCTATGAAATGTTCACGAGCAGAGAAAGAACACAGTCAAGTGTAGTCCGAGGTATGATTAGGGCATCATGGCCTACTGAAGCCTGCACTGGGTACAATCCACAGGCATGGATCTAAAGGGGTTTCAGTAAGCACTGGGTCTCCTCTGCCAGCCCCAGACCCCAGTGATACATGCTCCTTCTCAAGGCTCCTTGGACTCCTTTGTGGCCTCCACATTTCTGATGTTGCTGGAACCATACTGTCCTCTAAATAAAGCCTCATTGGCCAAGGCAGTGGTCCAGGACTCTTTCACCTGTTCTGCATCTGAAATAGCTTGGAGCATCCACAGAGTTCTAACAGTCTTAGATTAGATCAATGTCTTATAGGCCATGAGAGCTGAAGGAGGCCACAGAGATTATCTCCTCATCACTTGCCCCATGTACAACGGAGCAGCCAAATCTCAGAGAAGTCAGGGCAGAGCTGGGAGGGTACTGCTTCTTCAGCCTGGCATCTTCCCCACATATCACACAGCTCACCTGCAACCTCCTCCCTATAGGGCAGGCACAATCTGTACACAACATGGAACTTGGGGTGATGGGGAAGGCCCTTCAGGGAAGACCTATGCTTACCTTGGGGGCTTATAGGCACATGGGTTGTTCTTTTCCAAGGCTGCAAAGTGGAGTCCATCTACCTGAATGTGGAGGCTGTGAACACACACCGGGAGAAGCCTGAGGTAGGTGAGGGACTCTGCACACAAGTTGGCTGTGAACACATGATAGAAGCATCCTCCCCCACAGAAACGCCACCTAACCCTAGAGATCCCAAGGGTTTCATATCAGTGGAAAGCATAACCAGCTTGCAGAAATTTAGAAACTACAGCCTAGGCCTGGAGCACCACAGAGGCATAGAGCTGGGACGATCCTTGCCTGAAAGGCCTCAGGCTCAGGTTACCCCAGGTGTGCCTGACCAGTCGGGCTAACTAAAAAATGGGTGCCTGATACAACAAGAGGCAGCAGAGGGACTGGGGCCCTGTACTTCCATATCCTTCCTATTAATCAAGGGCTCTCTCTTCTCAGAATGTGGACATCACCCGGGAACCTGAGGAAGCCCTGGATACTGTCCCTGCCCATTACTGAGCTCTTTCCAAGAATCAAAATGCCTCTGTCCTCACTGTCTTCTTCCTTTATGAGCTTTTTAATCATTTCTTTTCTCCTACCCAAAGAAGACGCTGGCCTGTGCCTTACTGGAAGAGCCCTACCGCGAATAAAGAAATCCTTAGCTGCTGCAAAACAGGTCTCAATTTTTAGCCACAAATAAGAAGCTTCCTAGCTCTGCATGAAACACTTTCTTAATTCCTATTCTCTGATCAAGACTTCTCTTACTGTCTATAGGAGGACAGGAAGAAGTCACATTTAGGTTTCTCTGATTGTTTTTGAGGTCCTGATCCTGATTTTGACCCAGCTTTGGTGCTGTAAATGTGGAATGGGTGAGGACTTTCCAGAGAGAAGAGAGTAGCACTGTGAAAGATGAGGGAGATTGCTTGGCAGTCAAAGTGAATGAGGGCAGGACACCTTCATCCTTATATTCAGACAATCTGGCACTTGTACCAAGTTCTTTTTTTCAACTGTTGTTGCTATCTTGATTTCACCGTCCATGTGACCGGCCCAACCAACAACCTGGCGTCACAGTCCCCTAACCTCAACACTATAATCATCTCCCTATTATTTTACAGATCATGGCATCCTATTCATGGTCTGACTTCTTGAACACAAGCATCTCACTCTTATCCAAGAGTTCTTACAAAGTTAGTCATGTGTGGTATTTCTTTAATGAACCATTTGTTCTTACACAGTACCAGGAACATGGTCCTTTGACTTCTCCATTGTCTCCCAATCCATCCTCTCCTTCCTCAGTATTCTTCCATCCCTAATCAGTTTGGATCCTATGGTCCACATCTTCAGCCACTCTCCATATACCAACTATAGGTCAGGTACCAGTGATCCAGTGGTAGAAATATTCACAGTTGCTGTGTTTGTTCTCTTGTTCGTTCTTCACAGCTACCCAGCAAGATCCAAAACTTGAGTAATCCATGTCTCCTTTTTGTTGGGATCTATTCGAGGTTTGCTTATCAGTGCTTCAAGTAGATCTATATTTATTTCCACAATCACTCCCAAATCCTGTTGAAAGCCAGGGTCACCATCTATTCTCTGCCATCCTATCCCATCCCACCTTCTCAGACTATATCTGTCAACTCCTTACCCTTCCATATCTACCTCACGGCCCTCTCTATTGGCTTTGGCCCCACAGTCTACACAATATGCCCAAGTCTCCTTTTCCAATCCCAAGAAAACCCTCCCTTTTCCCCATGTCCACCTGAATAGTTCCCCTTCTGTTCATCCATTTTCACACAAATTACCCAATAAATCTATACTTACTATCCTGAACTCTCTCCTTTTACCTTCTGTCCCAGGCTTTCCCAAGCTATTATGTCCTAGCCTGCCATGCTTTCTCAGTCCTCTCTTTCACTGAAGAAATACCTACTTTTTAGCCTCAAGCTGGAGCCCCACATTCCCCAAAAGCTATGCTGATCTCTAGCTTTTCTATGAATCCAAAATATCACTCATGACTACCTAATCACACGAAAAGGCAAAAAACAACTCCAATTCATTTTGCAAATTTAATGTAACTCTGATACCAAAATATGACAGCACACAAAAAGCGAACAATAGAGCAAGAAGAGAAAACAGATTTTTTCATGGCGTGTCACTCTTAGCTGATTGGTAGTGGCTGCTCAGACTGCTGTGAGGACAGATTCCAAGGCTGTACCTTGGCTCCATGGGAAGGAATGCTGCAATTCACTAGCGATTATCTGTAAACATTACACCTGAAAACGAAACACCAAACCAGAACACATTTTAGCGCCAAAGATACTCTTTTCTCACACTTCCTCCATCACTCATCTTCCCACTTAGCCCTCCCAACCCAGGATTATTTCTTGTATCTCCAAATATTATACCCACTCCCATGGGCTTTGGCTATGGAAATACTGCAATTACCTGAAACCTTACTAGCTGTAAGAGAAGCCACAGGCACCAAGACTAGTGGCCCCACCACCAAAGCCAGCACCAGTGCTTGGTCCACCGCCGAATCCAGAACCGGTACTCGGTCCACCGCTGAATCCTGCACTGGTGTTCAGTCCACCGCCGAAGCCAGCATTGCCGCTTGGTCCGCCACTGAAGCCAATACTGGTGCTCAGTCCACCACCAAAGCCAGCTCCAGTGCTTGATCCGCCAGAGCTAGCTCCAGTGCTCAGTCCACCACCATAGCCACCAATGCTTGGTTCACTGCAGAAGCCAGCACCAGTGCTTGGTCCGCCACTGAAGCCAACAACAGAACTTGGTCCACTACTGAAACTGGCACCAGTGCCGGGTTCACCAGGAAAGCCAGTGCTGGTGTTGGAACCACTGCCAAAGCCAATGATGGTGCTCAGTCCTCTGTCGAAGCTGACATTAGGCCTGCTGCCAAAGCCATCGCTGGTGCCAAGGCCACCATTAAAGCCTCCACAAGTCCCAAGTGTGCTGCCAAAACCAGCGCTACTACCCAGTCCACAACCGAAGCCATCAGTAGTGACCAGCCCGCCACCAAAGCCCGTGCTGGTGCCTAATCCACCACCGAAGCCAGCACCGGTGCCTAGTCTGCCACCAAAGCCAGCAATGCTGCCTAGTCCACTACCAAATTCAGCACCGGTACCTAGTCCACCACTGAAGCCAGCACCAGTACTCAGTCCACCACCAAAGCCAGCACTGGTGTTTAGTCCACCACTGAAGTCAGTATTGGTGCCTAGGCCACTATCAAAGCTAGTGCTGGTTCCCAAACTACCACTGAAGCCAGTGGTAGTGCTCAGGCTGCCACCAAAGCCAGCACTGGTGCTCAGTCCCCCTCCAAATCCAGCACCGGTACTTAACCCATTGCCAAAACTGAAACCGGCACTGGTGCTCAGTCCATCACTAAAACTGACACTGGTAGCACCACTGAAGCAGGCACTGGTGCTAGGAGAGCCACTAAAGCATAGGTTGGTGTTAGATGCACTGCCAAAGCAGAGGCTGGTGCTGGGAGCTCCACCAAAACACAGACTGGTGCTGTGAGCACCGTCGAAGCTGACACTGGTGCTGGGAGCACTACCAAAGCCAATGTTGCTGCTGGAAGTACCACCAAAATCAGTCGTGGTACTGAGTGTCCCACTGAAGCCAGCACTGGTGCTGAACGCACTGCCAAAGCCAGGGTTAGTGCTTGGTACACCACTGAAGCCAGCAGTGGTGCTGACAGCTCCACCAAAGCCAGCACTGGTGTTGAGTGCTCCGTCAAAGTTGGCACTAGTGTTGAGAGCATTGCCAAAGCCAGTACTGGTACTGAGTGCACTGCTGAAGCCAGAATTGTTGAGTGCACCACCAAAGCTGGCACTGGTGCTAATGACACTGCCAAAGCTAGCACTGCTATTGAGTGCACTTCCAAAGCCAGTACTAGTACTGACAGCACCATCAAAACCAGCACTGGTATTGATGGCACCGTTAAAGCCGGCACTGCTACTGAACGCACCGCTAAAGCTCACGCCAGTGCTGATAGCACTGTCAAAGCCAGCACTGCTGTTGAGTGTACTGCCAAAGCTGGCACTTGTGTTGACAGCATCCCCAAAGGCAGCACTGGTGCTGATTGCACCACCGAAGCCAGCACTGCTATTTAGTGCGCCAGCAAAGCTGGCACTCGTGTTGGGAGAACCACCAAAGCAGATGCTGGTGCTTAGTGTGCCACCAAAGTCAGAACTGGTACTAGAAGAGCCACCGAAGGAGACACTGGTGCTAAGTATGCTGGTGCTAGGACAGCCACCAAAGCAGATACTAGTACTAAGTGTGCCTCCAAAGCTGGAGCCAGGGGTGGGAGAGCCACCAAAGCACACGCTGGTGCTAAGTGTGCCTCCAAAGCCAGTGCTGGTGTTAAGTGCACCACTGAAGACAGTGTTCGTGGTGGATGCAGTGCCAAAGCTAGTACTGGTGCTAAGTGCACCACTGAAGGCAGCTGTTGTGCTGTTGAGTGTGTCTCCAAAGCTAGAGCTGGCTCCAGCACTGAAACTGGCATTGGTACAAGGTGCACCATCGAAACTAATGCTCGCTCCACTACTGAAACTAGTGCTCGTGTTCGGTGAACCACCAAAGCTAATACTTGATCCACCACTGAAGTTAGTGCTCATGTTGGGTGCACCGCCAAAGCTAATGCTAGCTCCACCGCTGAAGTGAACCACCAAAGCTAATACTTGATCCACCACTGAAGTTAGTGCTCATGTTGGGTGCACCGCCAAAGCTAATGCTAGCTCCACCGCTGAAACTAGTGTTAGTGTTGGGTGTACCACCAAAGCTAATGCTGGCTGTACTGCTGAAACTAGTGCTAGTGCAGGGCGCGCCACCAAAGCTAATGCTCGCTCCACCACTGAAACTGGTAATAGTACTGGGTGCACCACCAAAGGTAATACTGGCTGTGCTGCAGAAATTGGCACTGGTACTGGGAGTGCCACCGAAGTTGATGCTGGCTCCACCACTGAAACTAGTGCTAGTGCTGGGTGCGCTACCAAAACTAATATTGGCTACGCTGCTGAAGCTGGCACTGGTACTAGGTGCGCCACCAAAGCTAATGCTCGCTGCACTGCTGAAGCTTGCACTCGTGCTGGGTGCATCACCAAAGGTAATACCACCTCCACCACCAAAGCCACCACCGGAGCTGGGCGCGCCATTGAAGCTCATACTAGCACCATCACTGAAGCTATCCCTGGTGCTAGCTTCTTGGTTGAAGTTGCCATTGGTGGTGGCATCTGCATTTTCTTGGGCTCTAGCTTCAATTTCAAATGAAAATCTGCTCCAGGCCTGCGTGTCATCACCTAACTCTTCCCTTGTTAGGCAGTCAATATCCATGTCATCCCAGTTCCAGGGCCCAGCCACAGCTTCCTCTCCAATCCCCATTTGGGCTCTTGCCTCAGCCCTGGCCTCAGCCTCAGCCACAGCCACAGCTGCAGCTTGGACTTCCATCTCCACCGCTTCCCGATACTGAGCAGCCCAGTCCTTGGGGTCTTTCTTCTGTACCTGAAGTGGAAATTACAATCATTATAAGAAAAATAACCCTTTTAATTATGGATGAGATACCTCTTAGTAGCAATAATTCTAAAAAAAGTCTTACTTATTGAGACTCTATCATGGATCAGTTCTCAGATCTGATTTCAGCTCTGATAACTTACATGTGATATGACCTTGGACAAGTCACTTAATGTCACTGAGCCCAAATGTCTTCATAATACGGGAGGTGGATTAGGGAGGGCAGAGAAAGGGAATGTAAAAAAAGAATTACGATGTGCTATATACATGTACCAGTCCCCCATGACAAATGTAGCCATATGTACTGCAAACATGTAATAATAAAAATTGAAGAGATGTAAAGAGATAAAAGTATGCTATGATCTAATTATCTATGTGTCTACCAAATTTGTATGTTGAATATCCAACCCTAATGTGACTGTATTTGGAGATAGGTCCTTTATGGAAGTAATTCCAGTTAAATAAGGTCAGAAGAATAAGGGGTGATCCAGTAGGTTTCCAGAGAGTCAGGGCTTTCTGCCCTATGATGACCCAGTAAGAAGGCATTTATCTGTCAGCCAGGAAGACAGCCCTCATGAGCGGCCTGTCATCAGAAACCTACCATGCTGGTCCTTGATCTGGGATTCTCAGCATCCAGAACTGTGAAAAAATAAATTTCTGTTTTTTAAGCCACCGAGCTTATGGTATTTTGTTATGGCAGCCTGAGATGATTACCACATCACAATGGGCCATAATTCGTATGTCCCACCACTGGTGGTTCAAGCCGGTGAGTACATGGTAATACAAAGTGTGAAAAATGAATGATAACATGTAATCTATATTGTAGCAGCATTCTGGGACATTATTGAAGCTTTATGTGTGTGAATGTGTATGTGTGTATGAACTACCAGTTGGCCTGTACTTGTCTGTCAGCAGCTCTGTTACCTTGCAGGCAAACTTGAGGACTTTCATCTTGCTAGTCTCATGGTAAGAGCGTAGGCCCCAGAAGAACTCATATTCAGGTGGTCTGCTGTTGGGGACCCTCTTGTATTCCAAGTACCTTGGAGAAAGGAAACAAGTGTTGCTTCTGATCAAACAGATCTGTTATTTACCCACTAAGCCCCAAATGGCAGACTCCTATAAAACAAATACTAAACAGTTCCTGGAGAAATATTTTCCAAGACCCTCCAGCCCCACACTCATTCCCCATACACAGATTATGTTCTCGGCTTCTAACACTGCACCATTTCCCATTGGCCCCGTGGAAAGTAATTACTTGGAGTACCTATATAGGGCATGATGTCACAGAAAGGCCAGTGTATCCTGCCACCTGTGAGGATTGCTCTCGGATGTGTTGTAAACAGAGAAGCCATTCTTAAAGCTGTCTGCTCGGAGCACACCCTCTCACAAGGGCATTATGTTTGATCTGGCCCAGTCCTGAACAAGTGCATCAACAGGAATTTTAGACTGCACTTAGTAGGACACAGGATGCCCATCCATCAAGACAGAATAAGAAAGTCACTAATGAAGCACTTTCTGAAACAAACTAGCACACCCAGAATACTTCCGGGCCAGATAAAGCCGCCAAACATCACTTACTTCTGCTTCACAAACTCGTCTGTGATGAGTTTCCTCACTTCCCCAAAAAGTGAATGCCTCACCCTGGCAATGAGAAAGATAACCCGTCAACACAGAACCGCACACAGAATCTAGGACTGTCTAGGTGAGAGCAGAGCCATTTCCTAACATGGAAGAGACCTCTAGCACATGGGGAGTCTCAACAAAGTGAAAAACGTAGTGAGCACATAGCCACTAGGAGTAAGCAGTGGAGGCCAGGTGGCTCTTTGTCAGGGACTCCTGAAGGTCTTTCTTACATCTAAGAACAGACAGGTGACAGGAAGAAAAGGAGCACAGAGTTGAGAACAATTTCCCCATCCACCCAGCCCAGCAACTCCCGCCTGCACCACCAGACCACCAGGCTGATGCAATCCTGGGACCGTTCTCTCTTGCCAAAGGACAACATGGACAGCAAGCGCTGAGAGAGCCCAATCATACCCAGGGTGCAGCCCCAACTTGCGCAGCACCTCCCAGATGACAGCTACAAGGGGAGGCAAGAGGAGACAGGGACAGAAAATGAGCACGTGGAATTCAGACCGTGGCTACCCCTTTGGCTTCATGCCTAGCCACTCACCTTCACTGGCCTTGTTGCCATTCATAAAAATGACACTCAGAATCACCATGAGGAGGCCCAGCTTGGGTGTATCCTTGGTCCTAAGGGAATAATAGGACAGAGAGAAATTTTATGTCCAGGAGCCACCTGCAAGACCTACCAGACAGCTCACTGGGCTGAATCCTTCCCACATACCTCAGATATGGGAGAATTCTGCCCAATCTACGATTCCAGTTCTACATGACCCCAGGTAAGGCACTTAAGAGTCATAAGCAACAGTCTCCTACTCAGTAAGATGGGAAAGTCACATTCTAACCAAGTCCTGGGTTGCCAAGAAGATGGAAAATGCATGTCAAACTGATACAAGTACTCAATCAGTGTGAGTGCTTTCTCAGAGCCCTCAGCCCTGTGACAGCTCAGTGCCCCAGTGATAACACTCCTTGTTAACTTGGGAAAGTTCCCAAGATCCCTCTGTCATACCCCTATCTATGTAATAAGGAGGTGCAGCTATAGCATGGTCTCTTTGATGTGATGCTATGGTCGTTCTGCCAGTCTCACTTCAAGTGTCAGCTATGACTTTATTCTTGGTCATTCCTTGTTTGGGCTGGTTTATCTCCTAGGTGTGAGTCTAGCTTTCCCAGTTAGACTAGGTGCTCCCGCAGGTCAAGGACAGCAGTTCTCCTTTTCTAACTCTCCACAAATATTAGGGAGTAAGCACTACACAAAGGCAGGCCTTTCTTATCCTTTGAGCATAATGATGCCACACTCTCCCTTGAGAAGCTCTCTTTCAAGAATCTCTCTGCCAAGGCTAGGTTAGGCATTCAGTAGGAAAAGATAAGCAACAAGAGGTCTATTGTCCAGGAAACTTTCTGAACAGACAGCTAAACTGACAACAGAAATGCCCCACCCCAGCCTCCTGCACCCTTCAGTTAATCCTAATCAGGAACCACTACTGCACACACGGCTCCAACCACGTGCAAGAGCTGTGTCAGGAACTTTTTAGTCCTTGTCTACAGAGGCTGTCAGAAGAGAGGGCAAGGGTAGTACCATGGATGAAAGCAGAAGTCCCCCTTCCACCCTAACCCTTTCCCAGCTTACGTTCCCAGTATGCCTGCAGAGGATTCCCGAGTACTGATGAGAATATACAAGCTACTTTGCTTATCGATTTCCTTCAGATTGACACGAAACATCTGCCAAGTAAAAGAATAACTTATGAATCATAAAATTCAGCTTAGCATCAAACAGCTTCCCAGGCATCTTGCAGCTCCCCATGTACCTGGGGGTTTTGCATACATGAAACATTAGTGAGGTAATGCATGAAAAACTCATAACTAAGTGTCCAGAACACGGCAAATATGCAACAAGTGTACCCTTACAAACGTAAGGTGACAAAGAGATGAATATTGCAAATATGTGACAGGATGTGTCCAGCAGCAGACAGAAGCCAGGACTAAGTTGGGTGGCTTGGGTCCTCGTTACGCTTTTACCACTGAGATACTACATAACCCATGGCTGTTCTAGGCCTTACTCTGGGCCACTGTCTGCCGCTCTGCACAGTGATAGGGCTGTATTAGCAGGTCCCCAGAAGGAACGTTGCTCACCTTTGTTCCAGTCAAGGTTTGCCCAATGCCTCCACCCCCCAGGGTGTCCCTTTACCTTCTCCAGAGCGTAGCTTGCTCTTTCAATGATCTCTGGGAAATATTCATCATATTCTTGGATGACATCTTTCAGCATGTCTGCAGGAAGCGAGAGGTGAGAGCAGCTGGGCTGAGCAGGGGCCACAGAGCTCTACCCCTTTTGCCAGCTCTGTGGAGTCAGTGCAACTAGATTAATGAGTGGTGCTGGCCACAGTGAAGTATAAGCGGGGCAGAGATGGAGATATGATAGAACAACAAGGCCATACAGGTAAAAGGTTACCTGCAGGCCATGAGGAAAGAGGAGAAAGAATAGCTTGACGGGGAAGGGTGTTAAGAGACTACCTGAACGCTTGATGGGGATCTTTGTCTGGTCCTTAACCAGGAGGTATTTCACCAACTTATTTGCCTGGGAGAAGAGGAACAGATGAGGAAATGTGAATATATTTGCAGAACACTTGACGGAAGAGAAGAGAACAGCCAAAGAAGAAAAGAGACCAGGCAGCATTGGATTCTTACCCTTTCTTGCAAAATGGCCACATCTCGGGGTGGTGGAAGCCTTCGGCCCCATGGGATCCTCCTGTAATTAATGCCACTTCTCTCTTCCCCACTCAGATGCTTGGACTTCATAAAGAAGGAAGGTCCAGAGTCAATCAGTGAAAAAGATTGTTGTCTCCTCATTCTGTTCTAAAAAACATCCCTCCAACACCCCTTGTAGTGGGTCTTGACCCTTCCATTAGCCACTCTGAGTCCTAGGCTTTTCTTTCACTATCTTCCAAATTGGAGTCTCATTCCCCTGCTATGGCAGGAACAACCCAAGGGCAGGGTCTGGGACGTCTCATCTTCCTTGGGTACCACTGAACTCTGCTAGCTGTAACCCTTGGGCATTTCATGTCACTTCCCTGGAATTCTATCTTGTTATCCATATAATGTAACCTATGGTCTCTAGTTAGTAAGAATTATTTTCAAGACATAAAGGGATAACGTGTAAATGTACCCAACAAGCCTGGCACATGGTAACTACTATATAAACACAAGGTGAATTACATAGGTTGTATCTAAGTACACAGATGTCTTATTTCCCCAGCAATCTGTGAAACGCTAGAAACAAATTATATCACATTTTTCTTGGCATATCCTAAAGCCTATCTGAACACAGGCAATAGTGCAAAGTAAAAGGCTCAGTAAAGGTATATAGAAGAAATAAAAAACCTAGACAGATAAGAATAGAAAAGCACAAAAGTTAAGGATACTGTCAGATAGCTCACCTTTCGGTTCCTCTTGCCCCGGGTCCTAGTTGTGGGTTCCAGACTCAACTGAGCCAGATAGTCATCAGCCAGGGCCTGGACAGCAGTAGCAACCTGAGTCTCAAGGGCATTTAAACTAGACTGAGAGGGGGCCATCTTGGCCTGGCTCCCCTGGTCAGCAATCTGGGTCTCGCTTTCAGTTCCCTGAGCCTTTGTGACAGCCTTTCGAGCCCGAGACCCTCTCTTGACCCGAAGGCTGGCTGCTAGGGCTTGGTTCGTAACCATGTGAGTGGCAGACAGAGCCTCAGAGACCTCAAAAACAGAATTTGGGCACTTACTGACAACCTTCTTGCCCTTAGATTTTTTGGGCCGGAGAGCTGCTGCTGAGGTCTCAATCTGCCTAGTAGCTGTCTCAGTGGCATTTGGGGACTCAAGATATTCAGTATCAGTATCTGTAGCCTTAACAGTAGTCCTCTTGGCTTTGGAAGCTTTCTTGGTTCTGACAGTGGATGTTGTGGACTGGATATTGGCTGTCTCATTGGTAATTTGGCCACGGGTAGTCGCTGTATGGGTGGCAGCTGTAGCTAGTGAGATTTCACTAGCACTACCTAGAGCCTTATTTGCAGCCTTCTTAGCCTTGGAAGTTTTCTTAGGCTTGGTGGAGGCTACAAAGGCCGGAGAATTGGCGGACTCACTGGCAGTTGGAGCCTGGATAGTCTGTGAGATGACTGATAGGTTTGGAGCCTGCAAAGGTGACTTCAGTTGGTTAGTGACACCCTCACTGTCTGACGGGCAACACTGGGAGACCAGGGCTGCCTTGGCAGCAATTCTCTTCATCTTGTTGGCCTTTTTAGGTGGAGCAGTAACCGAAGAAGCCTGAATACTGGCTGCCTCACTAGTAGCTGAAGCCTGGCTGATCTGGGAGAAGATTGGTAGGTTTAAAGCCTGCAAACTTATTTTGGGCTTGGTGGCAATCTCAGTGGCAGATGGGACTGGAGGGGCAGCAGGTGTGGACTTAACAATAGCCTTAACAGGGGTCTTCTTGGTCTTGCTTTTCTTAGGCCGGTTGGCAACAGATGGGTCCTTGGTTGCCGCCAACAGGGAATGCATCAGCAAGACATTGTCCTCTTCTTTTGTCTCAGTCTGTACATCTAGAGGGAAGGGAAGCCCCAGGCTCCCAGAGGGAGGCAGAGGGCCCTACATACTTAGGGTTACGATCCTCTGGACCATCTTGCCTCCCTACACCCCCCTTTCCATGAAGGCTCCCCTTTTTCTGAACAGTATTTGACTGAAGAGGGTGGGGAAAGGGGAAGTGAGCAGGGGACAGTCAGGAAAATTTTCTATTCCTCCCACTCCATCATACAGTGTCTGACTCAGGTAGGTTACACTGACAGCTCTCTACAGTAGCAGAGGGCTCAAGAGCACTAAGTAAACTCAGGACAGGAGAGACGGCATGATGAAAATGCAGAGGCCTCACCTGGAATGCAGGCATCCTATAACCATAGCCATTCCTTCTATCCATCTTTCTGGGAGGCCAAGTAACAGCTGAGCCTGAGGGAAAAAGGTCTAGTTAGGGGAGAATAACAGGGAGGGGAAAATTCATCAGACGTCTTGCCTAAACTGAAAGGCAAGGGTCTCACCTACCCTTGGGCCCAAAACCTTTCAACTCCTGCGTTCTTCTCCATAGAAACCAAGGCAATCTATTTTCGGAGCATCAGCTCCTTTCGCTCCCAAGATGGCAAGTCAATTCTACATCCTGTCCCCGGCACCTACACACGCCCCCTACCGCAACCTGGCCGTGCGCATGCGCAACGCACAGAGGCCCCCTTAAGTCCACAGCTTTCCCAGAGGAATCTTTTCCTCAAGGCCATCAGTGCGCATGCGCCTCGGTGGACTGGCTAGTCTAACCAACTCATTTCCACAAACGCCTACTGCTCGCAGAGTAACAAGACGTGTAGGTCCCACCCCTACGCCCCCTCTTGATAACTGCATCACATCCAGGCCCAACCCTACCCCACCACCGGCCCCCTCCCTCTGCTCTGCAGTACCGCTTCGCGCCGCCCCTCCCCAACACCGCCCACCCTCTCCTCCGCAGTACAGTCACGCACTGCCTCTTTCCAATATGCCCCCTCCCTCTGCTCTGCAGTACTTCTCCGCACCTCCCCTTCCCTTAATAAGCCCCCTCCCTCCGCTCTGCGGTACGTCTCTGAACCGCCCCTTCCCCAGCACAGCTTCCCCCTCATTCCACGTCTGCAAGTGCCCCGGCCCCGCCCTTTCTGCAACATGAATACCTCGGCCCCAGATCGAACGGTATTAACCTCAGTATTCCCCTTCTCAAACCCTACGAAGTTCTGCCTTTTTTCCTTTCTCAAACCAGAACCAACCGGTTACAGCCCTTTCTCCCTGCTGAGCCTGGTTCTTTTCAGCCGCTTAAAAAAGATTCTGTCCCCTCCTTCCTCGGTCCTGACCCCTCTTTTCTGTAGTCCAAACCTTTCTGTAGCCCAAACCTTTCTGTAGCCCACACCCTTTCTCCTCCAGCCAGAACGGAATCTTGTTGTGTCTTATCTCTCTCCTGACCTGTGTCCTCCTCCCTTTTTTCTACCGCCTAAATGATCTCTAGACCCTTCCTTTCTACGATCCCAACTAGGTCCTTTGTATTGCCCGAACCGCTTCCAGATTTTTCTTTTCTGTGGCCCAAAAGGGATTCCGCTCTCTTCTTCCTCCCCTGAGAATCAGGTCCAGGCACCTCTAAACACGATCATTTTAATGCGTTTATATCCCGAAGCCCTAACAGGTTTTCTTCAAACCTTAAGGGCATAGGGAGTCAGGCACCTTGAAGCTGCAGAGCAGAAGCCCCCCACAGAATCTTCATTCAAGCTGGGAACCTCAACTCACCTCGTCCTCTCGAGTCCAGAAAGCGTCCGCTCTCTCCAAGCCTCTGCTTAGATATGAGCCAGTTGCCCCTCCTTGGCCGGAAGTGATCCAGCCTCTTTCCGCCTCCGGAGGGGGTCTGGGTCCCTGCCGGTCCGGTCGGCCTCCTGTCCTTCCTTACTTTAACTTTCCGTTCTCAATGCAGGTCCCTTATACTGTCTACTACCTCTGATTCAGCAATCATTCTCTTATTCTCCATTTGATTTTTCTATTCTCCATGCTGTACTCCTGTTCCTGGTTGATTCCTGTTCCTTCTAGAAGGAATGTATTCCTCCAAGGTCCCACACCAGTCCTTACAGCCCCCTCTAGTTACACGGAGTATTACACCATGTGTCTGAGGACAGAAGACTAGATCATAGATTAGATTCGTTTCTCTCTCTTAAGTACAACCATTTAGAGGCTCTAAACATTAAAAGGTGGGGTGCTCTCACATTAAATGTAATCAGAAAAAATTCAGTAAATATAAGAAAGTGTACAAAAGGTTTTTATCCCACAGTGACTATACTGATGCTTTTTAACCTATGGAAAAGTATTGCGGGCCATGTGCCTCCTTTACTGACACACTATATAAGTATTTAGGCTGTCTTTTGTGACAAAGTGCACTGCTCAGTGTAGGAAACAATTTGTGTCATTCGTTTCTTCACTCAATTATTCAAAGGACAGTAGAGATCTTATAAAAATGTAATAATACTAGAATGCTTCAGTATTCCACTTTTCACAATGCACAGATCATTCAGAAAGAAAGTAAATAAATATGTAACTTGAGCTATGCTTTAGACCAAACAGATACTAACAGACATCTACAGAATATCCCATTCAGCGGAGGCAAAATATACATTTATTTCAAGTGAAAATGGAATATTCTCCAGGACAGATCATAAGTTGGTTCGTAAAACAAGTCTTAACAAACTTAAGAAAACTGAAATTACATCAAATATCTCTTCTAACCGTGACAGAATGAAACTGGAAATCCATAGCAAGAATTTCAAAAAATTCACAAACAGAAAGTAAATAGCATGCAAACAAAGAACATGTGAAAAAGGTAAAAAGGAAATTAAAATATCTTGAGGCAAACAAATGGACATACAATATACCAAAACTCATAGGATGCAGCAAAACCAATTCTAAAAAGAAAGTGTATAGAAATAAATGGTTTTATCAAAAGAAGAAAGATCCCAAATAATAAAGGCATACCTTAAGACACAAAAAAGAAGTATAAAAGACAAAAACAGAGTAAAAATAAATGAAATAGAGACTAGAAAAAAAATATATAAAACATCCATAAAGCTGAGAGTTAGTTCATTGAAATAAAAAACAAACCTAACTAGATCAACTAAAAGAAATAGAGAAGATTCAAAAACAGAAATAAAAGTAAAAACATAATGAATTGCACAGAAATACAAAAGATCGGGCCAGGGATATAGCTCAGTGGCACAAGTGCCTGCCTGGTAAGCATAAGGTCCTGAGTTCAATTCCTGGTACAAAAAAAAAAAAAAAAGAATCATAAGTAAATATTAAGAACAATTATAATAAAGCAAGAAATTAGAAACAAGAAGTGGATCCATTCCTAGATGTGTGCTACCTACCAAAACTGAATCATGAAAAACAAACCAATAATAAAGAAGAGTAATGAATCAATAATAAAATGTCTCCAAACAAAGAAAAGTCCAGGATTTCACTGATTAATTCTAAAAAGCTTTAAAAAGATAATATTAGTCTTTCCCAAACTCTTTTGAAAAATTGAAGAGAAGAACGTTTTTGTAAGCTCATTTTACAAGGTCAACATCACTCTGATAACAAAGCCAGACAAGAATATTACAAAAGAAAATTACTGGCCAGAATAGCTGATAGCATAGATGTAAATATCCTCCAAAAAATACTTGTAAACTAAATGCAACATCACATCAAGAAGATTGTACAATTTGACCAAGAAGGATTTATCCCAGGGGTGTAAGAACGACTCAGCATATACAAATCACTAGATGTGATGTACCACATTAAGAGAATGAAGGATAAAATCATGTGATCATTGAAGAGGGTATCAGAAAATGGAAAGATATCACTTGTTCTGGGGTAGGAAGAATCAACATAGTGAAAATGGCCATACTCCCAAAATTGTTGTACAGACTTAATGCAATCCCAATCTGAATATCAACAGCATACCTCACAGCACTAAAGAAAACAATCCTAAAATTTATTTGGAGCTAGAAGAGACCTAGAGTAACAAAAACAATCTGGGCAAAAAAGGCAAGTAAGGAGGCATCACAATACCAACTTTAAATCATACTAAAAAGCTGCTATGATAAAAACAGCATGGTGCTGGCAAAAAAAACTAAACAGATCTGAGGATCAATGGAACAAATTAGAAGTTGTAGAAACAACTCCAAACACACTCAGCCACCTTATCTTAGACAAAGGCGTCAAAAACCCTCACTGAAAGATAGTCTCTTTCATAAATAGTGTTGGAAAAACTGACTTTCCACGTGCTGAATACAAAATTTAGACCCATCTCTTAACATGCACTAAACTACAATCAAAATGGATCAAAGATCTAAATATCAAAGCAGAAACACTAAATATGCTGGAAGATAGGATAGGTAAAACTCTTGAACATATAGCTATAGGCAAAGATTTTATAGACAAAATCCAGACCACACAAGAAATGTAAAGAATCAACAAATGAGATTTGATCTTATTAAAAAGCTTTGGCACAGTGAAAGAAATCGTCAACAGAGTGAAGAAACAACCCACTGAGTGGGAAAAATTTTGCCAGCTGTTCCTCTGACAAGAGCCTAATATCTAGAATATGTAAAGAACTCAAAATATCAGACTCCCTCAAATTTAAAGACCCAATCAAAAAATGGGCATTTGAAATGAATAGACACTTCTCAGATGAAAAAGTAGAAATAGGAAGTAAATATATAAAAAAGTGTTCAGCATCACTGCTTATTTGAGAGATGCAAATAAAAATAAGGCTCAGATTCCATCTTACTCCAGAAAAATGGCAATTATCAAGAAATCAACCAATAACATGCTGACAGGAATGTAGGGAAAAAGGAAATCTCTACTATTTCTCTACTTGTGCAACCACTGTAGAAAATAGTGTGGGGATTCCTCAAAATACTAAAACTATCAGTTCCATTTGACCCAGCTATTTCCTTCTAGGTATCTTCCTGGAAGAATTAAGAATACCACATTGCAGTGATGTGTGCATGCCCATATTTGTAGCAGCACAGTTTGTAATAGCTAAATCTTGGAAATAGCCCAAATGCCCATCAACTGAGGAATGGATAGGATGTGTTTGTTTCTATGCAATGGAGTACTACTCAGCCATAAAGAAGGATAAACCTGAGACATTTATAAGTAAATGGATGGACTTTGAGACCATACTCTAAAGTGAAGTAAATCACATGTGTAAATATCACATTGTTTCCCTGGTGTGAGAAACCAAAAGTCTAAATAAGGACCAGAATGTATAACAGAACATTTTGTAATAGGAAGAAAATGCTCAGTTGGGAAAAGGAACTAGGGAGGGAGGAGGGGGAAAGTAAGAAAAGGAAAAGAGAAAAGAGGGAAAAATGGAAGGGACCAGGGATGTAGCTCATTGGCACAAGCACCTACCTAGCAACTCTAAGGTCCTGAGTTCAATTCCTGGTTCCAAAAAAAAAGAAAAGAAAAATGAAAACAAAGCTTTTGTAAAGGAGAAGGAGGAGAAGGATGGAAAGGAGGATAAAGGAAAAAGGAAAAAAGTGGAATTGAGATAAGTCATGTAGCAGGTAAAAAGTCCCTCTCATGAAAGTGATCATTATATATATTTGACATTTATCTTTAAAGTTAATGAATAAAAAAATCATGTGATCATCCCATAGGCGCAGAAAATTCATTTGACAAAATTCAACAATGATACATGAAAAATGCTTGATACATTACATATAGAAGAAATGTAACTCATAACAAAGGTATATGTGACAAGTTCACACCTAACATCATACTAAATGGTGAAAAATGAACAGCTTTTCCTCTAAGATCAAGAACAAGAAAAAGATTCCTACTCTCACCTTTTCTATTCAACTTAATTTTGGAAGTCCAATCCAGAGCAACTAAGCAAGAGAAAAAGCAAAAGGCTTCCAAGTTAAAAAGGAAGAAATTAAATTGTCCCTGATTATAATTAATACACTATATTGTACACTTAAAATTCTAAGAAAGCAGATTGAAGTATTCTTGCAACAAAAAATGAGTAAATGAGCTAATTAGTATGGTAAATAGTTTGATCTAGTCATTCCAAAATTTATACATTTATCAAAATATCATTACATACAATACAAATGTTTATAATAACTACTTGTGAATTAAAAATGAAAACAAAAACAATTTGTCAAGATTGGATGAAAGTCTATGAGCAATACTCCCCATGTATGTCAATTCTGGTTTAAGAAATAGAGCACTTATATCAATACAATCTCCTTTATGTCAGGATGAAGCACTGATGTTTTATAAGACTACAGCATAGGAAACAGAAAACATGAGCATAAGAATGTGTTGGCTATTTTAGGAATCATCAAAACCATTGCTACTTAGAAGAAATCAGTTGATTTTGAGACTGACCAGAATGAAAAGAAATAAGCATGAATTATGGAAATGCAAACCACCAGAAAATAAGATACCATTTTATCTATCAAAATAGTAAAGTTTAAAAAATATAAAAAATTGATAGTAACATAATGTTAGGGAGAGTATCAGACAATAGTCACTTTTGTTCAGGATTCAAAGAGGTATATATTTGTCCAACTAAGATTTTTAATAAAATTAAAAGTATATATGACCTCCAAACCAAAAAATCCAATATTATGTAGTATTCCAGAGAAAAATGTGTTTAAGAAGTCACAAAAACTGAATATTTATTGTAGGATAATATGTAATAGAAAAAAATTAGAAAACTTCTCCAAATTAAAAGAAACGTGATAACTAAATTGTGGCATATTAATTCAATGGCATAATATAGAACCATCAATATAAGTACCAAAATGGACATTTGCCAACTGATATTTTCAGTTTGATAC